GCGTGGCGTGTTTCCCTGTGGCGCACACACAAGCAGGAGGAGGAGAAAGAGGAGGAGGAAACGTGGGTCCCTTTGCAGGCCTGGCCTGGCGGTACGTGGGAGCCCACTCCTGGGGGAGGCCACCCGTGTCCTGCAAGGCTCCCCCTCCCACACCTTGCCCGCTTTCCCGACCCTTTCCCATTGCCTCTCTCTCTCTTTTGGGGACAAAGCCAAGGCTTGCAGATTCCCAGGCTTCCAAAGGTGGGTGGGGGTGGGTGGGTTTTGTCCCTCTTTGCATCCACTTGTCTGGCCTTTCCTCCCTTCTTGGGGGGCCCATGAGCCGGATTGCCACCGGGGCGGGGTCCCCATATTACTTGCTGGGCACCCCTTCCTCTCCCTGCAACTGGCACTTGGAGTTACTTCTCATTCTGTTCTGGTTTGACTGGCATTGGCAGGCAGAAGCCCTTGCTCTCCCCTCCTTCCCCATCCATTTGGCCTCTTCCACACAGCCATATAACCCGGAATAGCAGGGCTGAACATCCCATAATGTCTGAGTCCACACTGCCATAGAATCCAGTTAGAAGCAGGAAAAGGTGGGATTTGGTTCAGCTGTCTGGATGGACAGCTGAACCAAATATCTTCCAAAGCWGGTATTTTGGGATTTCCTGCTTTGATAATCTGGATTATATATAGCTGTCTGGAAGGCCCTGAGTCCACACTGCCATATAATCCAGTTCCAAAGCAGATATTTTGGGATTTCCAATTCCAAACCAGATGTTTTGGGATTTCCAGTTCCAAACCAGATGTTTTGGGATTTCCAGTTCCAAAGCAGATGTTTTGGGATTTCCAGTTCCAAAGCAGATGTTTTGGGATTTCCAGTTCCAAAGCAGATGTTTTGGGATTTCCAGTTCCAAAGCAGATATTTTGGGGTTTTCAGTTCCAAAGTAGATATTTTGGGATTTCCAGTTCCAAAGCAGATATTTTGGGGTTTTCAGTTCCAAAGCAGATATTTTGGGATTTCCAGTTCCAAAGCAGATATTTTGGGATTTCCAATTCCAAAGCAGATATTTTGGGATTTCCAYTTCCAAAGCAGATYTTTTGGGATTTCCAATTCCAAAGCAGATGTTTTGGGGTTTTCAGTTCCAAAGCAGATGTTTTGGGATTTCCAGTTCCAAAGCAGATATTTTGGGATATCCTGCCTTGATAATCTGGATTATATATAGCTGTCTGGAAGGCCCTGAATCCACACAGCCATATAATCCATTTCCAAAGCAGATATCTTGGGATTTCCTGCCTTGATAATCTGGGTTATATATGGCTGTCTGGAAGGCCCTGAGTCCACACTGCCATATAATCCAGTTCCAAAGCAGGTATTTTGGGATTTCCAATTCCAAAGTAGATGTTTTGGGATCTCCTGCCTTGTTGTTCTGGGTTATATATGGCTGTCTGGAAAGCCCAGAGTCCACACTGCCATATAATCCAGTTCCAAAGTGGATATTTTGGGATTTCCATTTCCAAAGCAGATATCTTGGGATTTCCTGCCTTGATATTTTGAGTTATATATGGCTGTCTGGAAGGCCCAGACTCCATACTGCCATATAATCCAGTTCCAAAGCAGCTATTTTGGGATTTCCTGCCTTGTTATTCTGGGTTATATATGGCTGTCTGGAAAGCCCAGAGTCCACACTGCCATATAATCCAGTTCAAAAACAGATACTTTGAAATTTCTATTTCCAAAGCAGGTATTTTGGGATTTCTAGTTCCAAATAAGGTATTTTGGGATTTCCTGTTTTGTTATTCTGGGTTATACATGGCTGTCTGGAAAGCCCAGAGTCCACACTGTCATATAATCCAGTTCCAAAGCGGATATTTTGGGATTTCCAGTTCCAAAGCGGATATATCGGGATTTCCAGTTCCAAAGCAGACATTTTGGGATTTCCTGCCTTGATATTCTGGGTTATATATGCGGGATTTGGTTCAGCTGTCTAGAAGGGGGCTCAGATAATCCAGTTCCAAAGCAGACATTTTGGAATTTCCTACATTGATATTCTGGGTTATATATGGCTGTCTGGAAGGCCCAGAGCCCACACTGCCATATAATCCAATTCAAAACAGAAAATGTGGGATTTGATTCAGGTGTGTGGAGGGGGGGGGGGGGGGCTTGTTTCTCTCTCCATCCATTTTGGGGGACTTTTCATCCCCTCTTTGGCACATCCTTGACCCACAAGCAGGTTGATATTATTATTATTATTGTTATTATTATTATTATTATTATTATTATTATTATTATTATTATTAATTTATATTCCGCTCTTCCAAAAAATATTATTATTATTTTCTCTCCTGCAGGAGACTCGGACCCTTTTGGTGTCAAAATTTCGTGTCAATTCGACGTGGTTTCTGAGTTGTTTCTCCCAAAAACGAACATTACACACATATATATATGTATATTTTTATTTATATAGATGACACAACAGATGTAATTGGGTTTTTAAAAATGTTTACATTCATGTTTCAATGCATTGCCTCTATTTTTAATTTCTTTTGCAACATGCTTGTTGTTGGCCAAGAAGAAAGGCAAAATAAAAGTAAAGTAAACATGGGAATAAGTTACTTTTCAGTAATCATTTGTTTTTATTTGTTTTGGTAGACACAAACAATTGTAGCCCACCTACGTACGATGTCTCCGTATCCATCTTTTCCCCTCTCTCTTGGTGGCTTTTTGTCCTTTTTGGCAAAATTGATGACTTCACCTATCCTCTCACGTTACCATTATGAAAGAAGCTGCCCCCTGTTGGGGTGAGCTCCTGTCTGTCAGCTCCAGCTTCTCATATGAGAACATCTTTTTATATGGTTTTCACTTTTGTTCTTAGATGTTTTTATTTAGTCATAAATTTATATTAAGTGTTATGTTTGTATGGGTCATATAAGTTTTCATTGTCGATTATTTTGTCTGTTATTAAGTTTATAGTGAGGTTGCTTTTATATTGCTTAATGTGGTCTGTCCTGATGTAATTTGTTTGTATGTTTTCCCTTTTGGCATTGAATGTTTGTTGTACATGTTGGAAATCACTTTGAGTCCCTTTTGAGGAGATAGGCCGGTCTACAAATAAAGATTTATTAATTATTTAGGGTTGCTGTGAGTTTTCCGGGCTGCAAGCAAAGTTCCAACAGGCTCCAAAACCTCTGAGGATGCCTGCCACAGATGTGGGCGAAACGTCAGGAGAGAATGCTTCTGGAACATGGCCATACAGCCCGGAAAACTCACACCAACCCAGTGATTCCGGCCATGAAAGCCTTCGCCAAAACATAACATGAAAACAAAACATATAATGAAATAGGGGTTGGGCTTTTTTGGTTGCCTGAGGCGGTTTTTCATAATTAACTTCTTCATCGTTATAGCAGTTGTGGTTTCATACTGAGTTTTGAAAACAGATCTTGACATGTACAATCATCATCATAATAGTAATACAAAAGTGACCCCTCAACCTCTGAGGATGCCTGCCATAGATGTGGGCGAAACGTCAGAAGAGAATGCTTCTGGAACATGGCCAGACAGTCCAAAAAACTTACAGAAACCCAGTGATTCCGGCCATTAAAGCCTTTGACAACACATTTTATTATTTACTAGCCATCCCCTGCCACGTGTTGCTGTGTATATGTGTTTTGTGTGTGTATATATTTGTGTATATGTGTATTTATATGGTTTTGCATGTGTTGTAATGTAGTTTTTTGGCTTTTTAAGCTTCTTCTGCTGTGTTTTTCAGTGTTTTTATGAGTGATGGTCACTTGCTGGCCTGAGCGGTGTCTTGTGTCCAAATTTGGTGTCAATTCGTCCGGTGGTTTTTGAGTTATGGTAATCCCACAAACGAACATTACATTTTATTTATATAGATTTATTTACGTATTTACTGTATTCATTTCCTGCCCTTCTCACCCCAAAGGGGACTCAGAGCGGTCTTACAAATACGCAACAATTCAATGCTTTACAAATAGTCTTATAATAAATTATCATAAATTATGCAAATACTAGCTGTCCCCTGCCATGCGTTGCTGTGGCCCAGTCTGTGTATATGTGTTTTCTCTCTGTGTGTGTATGTTTGTGTATATGTGTATATATGTGTGTTTGTATATATACGTGGTTTTGCGCATGGGTTGTAATATAATTTTTGTTTTTTGGCTTTTTAGGTCTCTTCTGTTGTGCTTTTCAGTGTTTTTATGAGTGATGGTTACTCGTTGGCCTGAGAGGTGTCTTGTGTCCAAATTTGGTGTCAATTCGCTCAGTGGTTTTTGAGTTATGTTAATCCCACAAACGAACATGACATTATAGATTCAAAAACATTAATCTACTGATACCTCAGTTAATGTCATTTTATTGGTATCTATTTTTATTTTCAAACTAGCCATCCCCTGCCAAGCGTTGCTGTGGCCCAGTCTGGTGATCTTGAAAATAAAGTAATGAGAAAGTATTGGTTTCTAATATATGTAATTTCTTTATGCTTGTGGATAAATAGTACTTCTTGTTGTTTCTTTGTCCGTGTTGATGTGGAGATTGGTTTGCCTATCTGTGGAACATGGAACATATTGTCCTTCTTTAGGGGTCCCTTTCAAATCTATTATACTATATCTCTGTGTGTATGCGAAGTATATATACCTATTAGGCTTGGGCAATCCATGGTTCTAAATGGTTACTTACAAAACTAAAGTTCTGGTGGTGAAAATTTCAGAACTCTAACAAAACTCTCAAAATTTCATAATAAATGGCAGTTCCTAATTGGTTCTGTCATTAAAATCACCAATAATGAAATAATAATTAAATTTTGAAAGTTTTGTTAGAGTTCTGAAATTTTCACCACCAGAACTTTAGTTTTGTAAGTACTTTAGAACCATTTAGAACCATGGATTGCCCAAGCCTAATATATAGATATATATTGTCAGGAGGGCTTTGTTGACGTTTCCTTGCCCTGGTGAAGGGAGTTGGACTGGATGGCCTTAAGTATTTTCTGTTGGTCATGGTATCCATCATTGTTTGAGTCCACAGTGCTCTCTGGATGTAGGTGAACTACAACTCCAAACTCAAGGTCAATGCCCACTGAACAGTTTCACTATGTGTCAGTGGGGTTCTGTGTGCCAAGTTTGGTTCAATTCCATCATTGGTGGAGTTCAGAATGCTCTTTGATTGTAGGTGAACTATAAATCCCAGCAACTAAAATTCCCAAATTACAAAAGCTCCACCAGTGTTCACATTTGGGCATATTGAGTATTGTGCTAAGTTTGGTCCAGACCCAGCATTGTTTGAGTCCACAGTGCTCTCTGGATGTAGGTGAACTACAACTCCCAAACTCAAGGTCAATGTCCATGAACCCTTCCAGTATTTTCTGCTGGACATGGGAGTTCTGTGTGACACGTTTGGTTCAATCCCATCATTGGTGGAGTTCAGAGTTCTCTTTGATTGCAGGTGTACTATAAATCCTAGCAACTACAACTCCCAAATGACAAAATCATGTTTTTTGAGTGATGGTCACTCCTTGGGTTAGTAGGTGTATCGTGTCCAAATTTGGTGCCAATTGCCCCAGTGGTTTTTGAGTTCTGTTAATCCCACAAACGAACATTACATTTTTATTTATATAGATTTACCAGTAGCTGCTGCATTTCCCACCCTCGGCTTATACTTGAGTCAATACATTTCCCCAGTTTTTGTGGCAAATTGAGATGCCTCGGCTTCTATTCGGCTTATACTTGAGTATATACGGTAATTTTAAAGGGGGTTATGCTTCATACTTTTATGGCTTGACTGATCACAAGACGTCCTTGTTTCCTCTTGATAGGCCTCCACCCCACCGTCACCCTGGCGCTGCATTGCTTAGACGGGGTCTTCCTGTCTCCCATGGAGAATGACTTCGTCAACAAGATCGTTGAGGAGCTGGACCACTTCTTGCTTCAAAACCAGCTGGAGAAGTAAGAAAAAGGGCGAATTGGTGCAATTTCCCCATCACGAGAACCAAGGGCTTGAGGTTCTTTGCCACTTGTCAGCTAATTCTGGATCCTACCTGGTTTCCTGTTGTCAACTTCTTGCCTGATTTAGGCGCAGCTCATGATGGTGGAGTTGCACTCCAGGACAGGAAAAAGCTCTCTGATTTTAGAACACACCACACGTTGAGTGAAGAAACAAATCTTTTTTAATGAAGCCTAGTGAAATAGCCAGTAGAAAGAAATGCTTGTAAGAAAATAGGAAATTTCCAAAGAGTAAAAGGTCAGTAAAATGCAGTAACTCAAAGCAATGTCCACAAAAGATATAAAAGCAATGGTGTCTTGATGCAGCTGAACTACAACTCCAAACCCAAAGGACCCTGCCCACCAAACCCTTCCAGTATTTTCTCTTGTTTATGGGAGAACTGTGTGCCAAGTTTAGTTCAATTCCATTGTTGGTGGGGTTCAGAATGCTCTTTGATTGTAGGTGAACTATAAATCCCAGTAACTACAACTCCCAAATGACAAATTTAATATTTTTGTGTGATGGTCACTCCTTGGGTTAGTAGGTGTCTAGTGGCCCACCCCACCCATATTCAAATTTGGGCATATTGGGTATTTGGGATTTGAAAATACATCCTGCATATCAGATATTTACATTACGATTCATAACAGGAGCAAAATTACAGTTATGAAGTAGCAATGAAAATAATGTTATGGTTGGGGGTCACCACAACATGAGGAACTGTACCAAGGGGTTGCGCCATTAGGAAGGTTGAGAACCACTGCTCTATACCCATCAGTTGATTTTCATTTGGTGGTTAGGGAGATCTGGAAGAGTTGGGGGGGACGGGGACAAGGCCACTTCTCAAGGGAAGCATGTGCAAAACCGAGATTGCATCTGCATTATGGAATTAATGCAGTTTGATACTTCTTTAACCACCATAGCCCACTTTAACTATAAATCCAAGCAACTACAACTCCCAAATGACTAAATCATTTTTTTTTGAGTGAAGGACATACATTGGGTTGTTAGGTGTCTTGTGTCCAAATTTGGTGTCAATTCATCCAGCGGTTTTTGAGTTCTGTGAATACCACAAACAAACATTACATTTTTATTTATATAGATGTTGCACTCCAGATCAGGAAAAAGCCCTCCGACTTCAAAACACACCACATGAAGAGTGAAGAAACAAATCTTCTTTTATTGAAGCTTAGCAAATAGCCAGGAGAAATAAATGCTTGTAAGAAAATAAGAAGGTTCCAAAAAGTAATAAATCCATAAAAGACAGTAACACACAGCAATGTCCACACCAGATGTAAAAGCAATCCAAGGCAATATATATCCAAATAGAAATCAACAGGATGCAAAGACAATCCAAACGCTGCTAATCAACACCAAAAGGCTAGAAGTATACACAAGAACAAGACCCCTTAAACAGGATTTCCACGGCGCATGAACTTGATTTCCAAACGATGCCTGATCTAACAGGTTTTCCCTTGAAGCAAACCTTACATCCCAAAACCCAGAACTGGTTTCGTTTTCCCCCACCCTTGACGCTTATCTGATGAAGCCTTTCGGAGCGACGTAAACCTTGAGTTTGTTGTCGGTCCTGGCTGAACTCCAGCCGCCTGTTCTTTAATTCCCTATCTGGCTCCTCATTCAAATTTCCAGGTTTCAGATTGTTTTCCAAACCCAAATCTTGAGAGCTCACAGAGAAAGGGAATAAACCATCATCCCTATGCCCAGCAGGAATATTCTCATGAGAATCTGCCCTTTGCACTGGGGCCTCTTTGTCATTGTCTGCAAGAAAATCTTTGACTCAACCAGTGTTTCTCAACCTGGGGTTCGGGACCCCTGGGGGGGTCGTGAGGGGGTGTCAGAGGGGTCGCCAAAGACTATCAGAAAACACAGTATTTTCTGTTGGCCATGGGGGTCCTGTGTGGGAAGTTTGGCCCAATTCTATCATTGGCAGGGTTCAGAATGCTCTTTGATTATAGGCGAACAATAAATCCCAGCAACTACAACTCCCAAATGTCAAGGTCTATTTTCCCCAAACTCCACCAGTGTTCACATTGGGGCATATTGAGTATTCGTGCCAAGTTTGGTCCAGCTCCATCATTGTTAGAATCCACAGTGCTCTCTGGATGTAGGTGAACTACAACTCCAAAACTCAAGGTCAATGTCCAGCAAACCCTTCCAGTATTTTCTGTTGGTCAGTGGAGTTCTGTGTGCCAAGTTTGGTTCAATTCCATCATTGGTGGAGTTCAAATGCTCTTTGATTGTAGGTGAACTATAAATCCCAGCAACTACAACTCCCAAATGTCAAGGTCTATTTTCCCCAAACTCCACCAGTGTTCACATTGGGGCATATTGAGTATTTGTGCCAAGTTTGGTCCAGCTCCATCATTGTTAGAATCCACAGTGCTCTCTGGATGTAGGTGAACTACAACTCCAAAACTCAAGGTCAATGTCCAGCAAACCCTTCCAGTATTTTCTGTTGGTCATGGGAGTTCTGTGTGCCAAGTTTGGTTCAATTCCATCATTGGTGGAGTTCAAAATGCTCTTTGATTGTAGGTGAACTATAAATCCCAGCAACTACAACTCCCAAATGACAAAAATCAATGTCTCTGCAACCCCACCATTCAAATGTGAATGTATTGGGTATTTGTGCCAAATTTGGTCCAGTGAATGAAAACACGTCCTGCATATCAGATATTTGCATCACAATTCATAACAATAGCAAAATTACAGTTATGAAGTAGCAACGTAAACAATGTTATGGTTGGGGATCACCACACCATGGGGAACTGTATTAAGGGGTCGTGGCATTAGAAAGGTTGAGGACCACTGGACCAAACCATCTCCATCTTGCACCTCAGCCTCGGCACCATCATTTCCCTCATCGTATTGTTGGAGGCTTTCATGGCTGGAATCACTAGGTTCTTGTGGGTTTTTTCGGGCTATATGGCCATGTTCTAGAGGCATTTTCTCCTGACGTTTCGCCTGCATCTATGGCAAGCATCCTCAGAGGTAGTGAGGTCTGTTGGAATTAGGAAAATGGGTTTATATATCTGTGGAATGACTGGGGTGGGGCAAAGAGCTCTTCTCTGCTGGAGCTAGATGTGAATGTTTCAACTGACCACCTTCATTAGCATTTGAAGGCCTGGCTGAGCCTGAGGGAATCTTTTGTTGAGAGGTGTTAAGATGTGTTTGGTTGTTTCCTCTCTGCTGTTTTGCTGTTGCAATTTTAGAGTTTTTATTAATACTGGTATTAAAATGCTGGACCACTCCAACAACCACATGTCAGACTACACAGAGAAGCCATTGAAATCCACAAGCATGGGGACAATTTCAACAGAAAGGAGGAAACCATGAAAATGAACAAAATCAGGCTACCAGTATTAAAAAAACTCAAAAATTAAAACAGCAAAACAACAGAAGGGAAACAATCAGGGACATCTAATTACCTCTCAACAAAAGATTCCCCCAGGCTCAGCCAGGCCTTCAAATGCTAATGAAGGTGGTTAGTTGAAACATTCACACCTAGCTCCAGCAGAGAAGAGCTCTTTGCCCCACCCCAGCCATTCCACAGATATATAAACCCATTTTCCTAATTCCAACAGACCTCACTACCTTTGAGGATGCTTGCCATAGATGCAGGCGAAACGTCAGGAGAAAATGCCTCTAGAACATGATCATATAGCCCAAAAAAACCCACAAGTACCTATTTCGCTCATCATTTTTCACAGCATTGCCCACATCAGAAGCATCATGATCATCCTGGAACACAAACACAGGCTGATTCCCAACAGGTCGTTAAATCCAACAGCCAGAGCCATCACTCTCTAATAAAGATCAGACAAACTATGGCTTCCCAGTGGCCAACGGATGTGGTGGCGTGACCATATTGTTTGCCTGGTTGATTGTGACTTCCTGGTTCTTTGTGCCCTCTTCCAGGGTCCTGTTGTTTCCTCCCTTGTCCAGTCGCCTTCGGTACCTGATCCACCGGACCGTTGACGATGTCGACCATCTGAGCAGCTTCTCTGTGGGAGAAGGATGGAGGCGGAGGACGGTGGTCTGCCACTCGGCCATAAGGTGGGACTTTTGACAAGGCATGACCTTTTAGAGATCATAACCTTTTGGAAAACCAGTGCATAAACACAGCAGAATTTCAGAAGTGTTTTTCAGCGTCCAAAAACGTATCTATTCTCCCATAAAAACAACTAGTTTTATATCATGCACTCATAGAATCAAAGAGTTGGAAGAGACCTCGTGGGCCATCCAATCCAACCCCTTTCTGCCAAGAAGCAGGAATATTGCATTCAAATCACCCCTGACAGATGGCCATCCAGCCTCTGTTTAAAAGCCTCCAAAGAAGGAGCCTCCACCACTCCGGGGCAGAGAGTTCCACTGCTGAATGGCTCTCACAGTCAGGAAGTTCTTCCTCATGTTCAGATGAATCTCCTTTCTTGTAGTTTGAAGCCATTGTTCCCCGTCCTATTCTCCAGGGAAGCAGAAAACAAGCTTGCTCCCTCCTCCCTGTGCTTCCTCTCACATATTTATACATGGCTATCATATCTCCTCTCAGCCTTCTCTTGTTCAGGCTAAACATGCCCAGCTCTTTAGCCGCTCCTCATAGGGCTTGTTCTCCAGACCCTTGATCATTTTAGTCGTCCTCCTCTGGACACATTCCAGCTTGTCAATATCTCTCTTGAATTGTGGTGCCCAGAACTGGACACAATATTCCAGGTGTGGTCTAACCAAAGAAGAATAGAGCATGGGGAGCATTACTTCCTTAGATCTAGACACTAGGCTCCTATTGATGCAGGCCAAAATCCCATTGGCTTTTTTTGCCGCCACATCACATTCTTGGCTCATGTTTAACTTGTTGTCCACGAGGACTCCAAGATCTTTTTCACACGTACTGCTCTCGGGCCATCTCTCTAATCTGTCAAGATGCTTTGAATTCTGTTCCTGGCCTCATGTAAGCCGCCCCAAGTCCCCTTGGGGAGATGGTGGCTTGAAGTGACTGGACTGACCTTGAAGGAGCTGGGGGTGGTGACAGCCGACAGGGAGCTCTGGCGTGGACTGGTCCATGAAGTCACGAAGAGTCGGAGACGACTGAACGAATGAACAACAACATTATTATTATTATTATTATTATTATTATTATTATTATCAGTCTGAGAGAGGCCTCAGTGGGAGAAAGGCCTCAGTGTGAGGTAGGCTTCAGTGTTAGTGGGCCTCAGTATGAGAAGCTTCAGTAAGAGAAGCCTCAGGTTGAAGGCCATTGTGTGTGAAGCTTTGGTGTGAAAGCTGTTTCTCTACATGAGAAAGAAGCCCAGTGTGGAAACAAAGAAGGAAGTGTCAAGAACTTTATTTGTGTTATAGAAACCTTATTCTTGTAAATAGTGTAATCATATTATTTTACGTCGCTTCATGACTGCATGGAGCGACGTTACCTTCCCACCGGAATAGTACCTATTGACCTATTTGCATTTTCATGTTTTCAAACTGCAAGGTTGGCAGAAGCAGGGGCTAACAGCGGGAGCTCACCCCGCTCCCCAGATTCGAACCTGCGATCTTTTGGTCCGCAAGTTCAGCAACTCAGTGCTTTAATCCACTGCGCCTGAGGCTAACTTTATGCACAATATTTGTAATAATTGTTATGTTATTTTGTACTGTTTATTTTACTTGATTGGTTTATTTTTTTGTGATGTTATTTCATTATTTATATTTTATGTTGCTGTAATGTATTGCTGGGCTTGGCCTCATGTAAGCCGCTCTGAGTCCCCTTTGGGGAGATGGTGGAGGGGTATAAATAAATATTATTATTATTATTACTACTACTACTACTAGCCGTCCCCTGCCAGGCATTGCTGTGGCCCAGTCTGGTGATCTGGAAAATGAAGTAATTAGAAAGTGTTGGTTTCTAATATATATAATTTGTTTATGTTTGTGGGTAAACCATATTTCTTGCTGTGTCTTTGTCATTGTTGATGTGGAGATTGTCTGGTTTGCCTACTCTGGAACATGCAACATATCATTGTCCTTCTTTAGGGATCCCTTTCAAATCTATGATACTATATCTCTCTGGATGGCTCTTTGTCAGGAGGGCTTTATTTACGTTTTCTTGCCCTGGAGAAGGGAGTTGGACTGGATGGCCTTAAGTATTTTCTGTTGGTCATGGGGGTTCAGTGTGGGAAGTTTCCCCAATTCTGTCGTTGGTGGGTTTCAGAATGCTCTTTGATTGTAGGTAACTACAACTCCCAATTTTCAAGGTCTGTTTTCCCCAAACTCCATCTGTGTTCATATTTGGGCATGTGGAGTATCTGTGCCAAGTTTGGTCCAGATCCATCATTAGTTGAGTCCACAGTGCTCTCTGGATGTAGGTGAACTACAACTTCCAAAATCAAGGTCAATGCCCACCAAACCCTTCTAGTGTTTTCTGTTGGCCATGGGAGTTCTGCGTGCCACATTTGGTTCAGTTCCATCATTGGAGTTTAGAATGCTCTTTGATTGTAGGTTAACTACAAATCCCAGGATTGCAACTCCAAAATGACAAAACCAATTTTTATGAGTGATGGTCACTCCTTGGGTTAGTTCAGTGGTTCTCAACCTGGGGTCCCCAGATGTTTTTGGCCTTCAACTCCCAGAAATCCTAACAGCTGGTAAACTGGCTGTGATTACTGGGAGTTGTAGGCCAAAAACATCTGGGGACCCCAGGTAGAGAACCATTGGGTTAGTAGGTGTATTGTGTCCAAATTTGGTGTCAATCCATACAGTGGTTTTTGAGTTAATCCCACAAACAAACATTACATTTTTAGGTTCTTGTGGGTTTTTTCGGGCTATATGGCCATGTTCTAGAAGCATTCTCCCCTGACGTTTCACCTGCATCTATGGCAAGCATCCTCAGAGGTAGTGAGGTCTGTTGGAAGTAGGAAAATGGGTTTATATATCTGTGGAATGACTGGGATGGAGGCAAAGAACTCTTCTCTGCTGAAGCCAGGTGTGAATGTTTCAACTGACCACCTTCATTAGCATTTGAAGGCCTGGCTGAGCCTTCAACAGTATTTTCTGTTGGTCATGAGGGTTCTGTGTGGGAAGTTTGCCCCAATTCTGTTGTTGGTGGAGTTGAAACATTCACACAGCTCCAGCAGACGTCCCATCCCAGTCATTCCACAGATATATAAACACATTTTCCTAGTTCCAACAGACCTCACTTCCTCTGAGGATGCTTGCCATAGATGCAGGTGAAACGTCAGGAGAAAATACCTCTAGAACATGGCCATATAGCCCGAAAAAACCCACAAGAACCTAGTGATTCCAGCCAACATTACATTTTATTTATTTAGATTAATAATAATAATAATAATAATTGTGTACATAAAAATAGTTTATATATATTGAACCATCAGAAAGGAAAGCTGTCACTATCTCACTCACTCTTGTGACTAATTTTGGATTTTTGGATTTTTGAATTCTAAAGAAGGGATGCCCAACTTGTAGGGGGTTCAGGCACCAACGGACTCCTGGTAGTGAAGGCTCTTGTTTTGAAATCTGCACATTGAATGATCTCTTTCTTTCCTTCCTTCCTTCCTTCCTTCCTTCCTTCCTTCCTTCCTTCCTTCCTTCCTTCCTTCCTTCCTTCCTTCCTTCCTTCCTTTCTTGGAGTTAGGTTACCAGATGAGCCGGAGGACCAAGATGGCTCGCGTGGAAGCACCTCCACCTCAAATCACCCTCCCTATTCAAAGAACAGAGGTGGCAGGTCAAGAGGAGGCCCGAGGGGAGGCCCACGAAACGTGGAAGCCCTGGCCGATGGCTCTCAGATGCGGAGGGGAAGTGGCCGTGGAAGGAGGCAGCCCCGGAGGAAGCCGGACCGAGCTCTGTACATCCCCAGGGCCATGAGGAAGAATCCCGAGGGCTTGCAAAAGGAAGATCTTCCTGAAATACCTGGAAGTGAGTTGAGCGGCTTTGGAACGACTGAGTATGACATTCAGAGATCAAACGTGATTAACGTCAACGAGGCCAACAAGTTACCCGGTCCTGATGTGGAACATGGAGAGGTTGAAAGCCCCCAACAGATGTCAACAACGACTACAGAGTCTGATATGAAGTGTGACAAAGAAGAACTTGCAGAGTGTGCAAGTTCTTCTCTGCTGGAAAGTCCACCCAGTCTGCTGGAAGATGTCACCCAGCCTCATGATGAGCCAGCTTCCTTGACCTCAGAAGCCAGCCAAACCTTGGATACAACAGAGAGCGCATCTGCAAGTGACAGGGATGCTGTAGTACTTGAGTGCTGTGAAGATTCAGGCTTCCAAGAAGTCCAGAAAGAGGAGAGTGCTGCCAATGTCGTCCCGAGAGAAACCGGGCAGCCACCATCGCTGGGAGAAGAAGACAGCCCACTTCCAGAGACCACTGTTGTGGAGCTGAGCATGAAAATATCAATTCTGGAAGACGAGGGAAAGCGCAGTCCAGATTCCTCTGTTTTGGAAAGTGACACCTTCCCATCCCTGCCAGAAGACTGTGAGGAGCGTGTTAGCGATACCGCGTCGCCAAATCCATGCGACGTGGAAGATACAACCCGTTCTCATTCCAGTGGAGTGGAAGAGACCAAGGTGCCACCATCTCTGGATGAAGGTGCAACAGATGACGCTGTGCCGGAAGCGCCAGCCTTGGGGACCCCAGCGAAAGACTGCCCTGATGCCTCTGTGTTTCCGTGTAGGCAGACTGTAGAGTCTTGTAGAGACATTGGGGATCAAAACAGAACTGGTTTTCCTGGGTGGACACCTTCCCTCGGACAGAGAGGCTGCAAAGATCCGCCTGTGCCGGACTCTCAGGCCTCACCTTACCTAAATACCTCTGTTTGTGAGAAGGGCAAAGGCGGCTGGGTTCTTGAAAACCAGCAGAGAGACACACTTGACCTGGGAGGACATCGGTGGCCTGGGCTGGAATTGTCTTCTGGGGACAGAGGCCTCGGGAGCTCCGTGGTGGAAGAAAAGGACAGCGGCGTCTTTGAGGAGGACTGCGGCGCCGAGCTCTTGCAAGAGGTAAAGCCTTCATTTGATGCTTGGTTTCTCGGAGGGCGACTTTAAGCTATGGAACGGCACTACGGGCCTCAAGAAATAAGGCAGCAGGTGGGCAACTGCAAACGTGGTGATTGGGGAGCCATTGTCTCCCTGTGTGTCTTCCCTGAGGCCACACCAGACATCACTACTGTAATGCGCTCTACGTGGGGCTGCCCTTGAAAACGGCTCGGAAATTTCAATTGGTCGAAAGGGCAGCGGCCAGGATGTTAACTGGTGCTCCTTACAGGGAGAGGTCAGCCCTCCTGTTCAAGGAGCTCCATTGGCTGCCGTTTATCTTCCGAGCCCAATTTAAGGTGCAGGTGCTCACCTACAAAGCCCTAAACAGTTTGGGACCACCCTACCTGCGTGACTGCATCTCCGTTTATGAACCCACGCGCTCACTTCGCTCATCCGGAGAGGCCCTGCTCGTGATTCCACCTGCGTCGCAGGCACGTCTGGTGGGGACGCGAGACAGGGCCTTTTCTGTGGTGGCCCCCCGACTGGAGCACCCTCCCCAAAGACCTTAGACAAGCCTCTACATTGGCAGTCTTTAGGAAGAACTTGACCTTCCGATGTGCCTTTCCAGAATAGGAAAACTCCAATAACAAGTCCCAGAAGCACTTTAGTAGAAATTAAGATTGTCGGCACACTGCACTTACCCTGTAATCCTATATATCACCTGTCACTTCAGCACTTTTTAAATCTGTACCCATTATTCTGGCCCGGCCCAGTTTTATTGCGTCTTGGTGTATTGTTTTATTGTTTCCTGTTTTAATATTGCTTAACTGTTCTGATTTGCTTTCGGTTGTGTTTTATTATATTGTGTTTGAGGCCTTGGCCTTTGTAAGCCGCATCGAGTCCTTCAGGAGATGCTAGCGGGATACAAATAAAGTAATAATAATAATCATCATCATCATCATCATCACTGGAAGTGACGTTGCAATGAACAAAATCTGGCTACCAGTATTAAAAAAACTCTAAAATTACAACAGCAAAACAGCAGAGAGGAAACAATCAGGGACATCTAATCACTTCTCAACAAAAGATTGCCCAAGGCACTGCCAGGGCCATCAAATGCTAATCAAGGTGGTCAGTTGAAACATTCACACCTAGCTCCAGCAGACAAGAGTCCTTTGTCCCACCCTGGTCATTCCACAGATATATAAACCCATTTTCCTAGTTCCAACAGACCTCACTACCTCTGAGGATGCTTGCCATAGATGCAGGTGAAACGTCAGGAGAGAATGCCTCTAGAACATGGCCATATAGCCTGAAAAAACCTACAACAACCCAGAAAATATTTTATTTTATGATGTTCTTTGGTGACTCCTCTGATATCTCCTTGCGACCCCCGGGTTGAGAAACACTGCCATAGATGAACCAGGGCTTCTTAAGCTTTTCCACTCATGTTCCCTTTTGGCCTGAGAATTTTTTATGTGATGCCAGGTATATAAAATGTATACAAATCAAACATTTACTCTCAACCTGGGGTCCTCGGATGTTTTTGGCCTTCAACTCCCAGAAATCCTACCATCTGGTAAACTGACTGGGATTTCTGGGAGTTGTAGGCCAAAACACCTGGGGACCCACAGGTTGAGAACCACTGCTCTAGAACATGGCCATATAGCCCGAAAAAACCTACAACAACCCAGTGATTCCGGTCATGAACGCCTTCGACAATACATTGATGTTGCAGTGATTATCTTTGTCAGGAGGGCTTTGATTATAGAATCATAGAATCAAAGAGTTGGAAGAGACCTCATGGGCCATCCAGTCCAACCCCCTGCCAAGAAGCAGGAATATTGCATTCAAATCACCCCTGACAGATGGCCATCCAGCCTCTGCTTAAAACCAAAGAAGGAGCCTCCACCACACTCCAGGGCAGAGAGTTCCACTGCTGAAGGCTCTCACAGTCAGGAAGTTCATCCTCATGTTCAGATGGAATCACCTTTCTTGTAGTTTGAAGCCATTGTTCTGCATCCTAGTCTCCAGGGAAGCAGAAAACAAGCTTGCTCCCTCCTCCCTGTGGCTTCCTCTCGCATATTATATTTTCTTGCCCTGATGAAGGGAGCGGACTGGATGGCCTTCAGGCAGCGTTTCTCAACTTGGGGGTCGGAACCCCTGGGGGGCTCGCGAGGGGGTGTCAGAAGGGTCACCAAAGACCACCAGTCTCACCCTGGTCGTTCCACAGATATATAAACCCATTTTTCCTACTTCCAACAGACCTCACTACCTCTGAGGATGCTTGCCATAGATGCAGGCGAAACGTCAGGAGAAAAATTGCCTCCAGAACATGGCCATATAGCCCAAAAAAACTACAACAACCCAGTGATTCCGGCCATGAAAGCCTTCGACAATACATCAGACCAGATAATCTCTGTCAGAGAAATTTTGGGGGTATATGCGCAGCGGAAGAGGTTGCTAGATCGACAGACACAGGATTCCAAAAAATCAGGACTCTGCAGTCTTACAGTTTCAAAATAACACAAAGTTTACTAAGTACATCTACACACGTCCATTCTTAGCTGGCAATCATCAGGAACTACAAAGCACACCATAAACAGTTTCAGAACATCTGCTTATCAGACCTCTGGCTGTAACTGGATACTCCTTCTTCTTCCCACAACCAGAGAACATGTTATCTCACTTCTGTCAAGGTTACTTTTCTCTCTGCTTCTCACAGTATTTCTAATACACAATTAAACATAATAGAATCCATCTTGAAACACATCTTAATCCATCTTGAGTTACATAGAAACACATTGAAAAACACACATGCATACCTCGATAATCCAGACAATCTCCACATCAACACAGACAAAGAAACAACAAGAAATACTGTTTACCTACAAGCATAAAGAAATTAGAAAGCGACACTTTCTCGTTACTTTATTTTCCAGATCAGCAGACTGGGCCACAGCAACATGTGGCAGGGGACGGCTAGTATATAGGGACTGTGCCTGGGGAGATGATTTGGTCAGGGAGGGAATGTTGCCAAGTGCAGTTCTCTCTCTCTGATGTGGTCTTTTTAGAACCACCCTGCTGAAAATCCACCTTCCCACACCAACCATTGCTATTTTACATGAATCTGGAGGTTAGCAAGCATACTCTTTTGAGGTACATCCCAGAATCTGTGCAACCAAGCTGGTTTCTTGGACGTGGCAGCTGGAGGATTCTGGGAATTGTCGTGCCAAAGGGTAACATTGCTCATCTGTTTCTCATTATGTCAATGCCCCTTTCTCTCTCCCCACCCCTCCTTCCGTCTTTTCCAGATCACAAATTATTTGACCATAAAGGACATAAGCATTGAAAAAATCCAGTTTGATTATTCTAGCTATGGGGAGGCCCAGATCAACGAAGGGGATTTTGGACATGTGCTCGAGATCTATGATTTTTCTCCCTCACTAAAAACGGAGCACCTCCTGGAGGTATTTGCAGAGTTTCAGTAAGTCCACGACTTTCTTTTCTGGTCTCGTAGCAAGGCATCTCAGAATGTTTTTCTCCTTGCAAGTTGAAATGTCAACCATGGTAGCATAGCTGGTTTAACCACTAGCTGCAGGAAAACTGCTGACTGGAAGGTTGGCAGCTCAAGGCTGCGAGTCGGGGTGAGCTCCCGTTGTCAGCCCTAGCTTCTGCCAACCTACCAGTTTGAAAGCATGTGATTCGAGTAGATCAAGTATAGGCAAACCCAGGCCCGGGGAATGGATGTGGCCCCTTGGACTCTTTTCTCAGGCTCTCCTCTCTCTCACCATCTTTTCCTTCCCTTTTCCCTTCCCTCTCCTTCCCTCTTCCCTTCCTTTCTCCCTTCCCTTCCCTTTTCCCTCCTCTTCCCTTCACTCTTCCCTTCCCTTTTCTCTTCCCTCTCCTTCCCTCTTCCCTTCCTTTCTCCCTTCCCTTCCCTTTTCCCTCCTCTTCCCTTCACTCTTCCCTTCCCTTTTCTCTTCCCTCTCCTTCCCTCTTCCCTTGCCTTCCCTCTTCCCTTCTCTCTTCCCTCCCCTCCCCTCTTCCCTTCCTTTTTCTCTTCCCTTCCCTTTTCCCTTCCCTCTTTCCTCTTCCCTTTCTTTCTCCCTTCCCTTCCCTTTTCCCTCCTCTTCCCTTCGCTCTTCCCTTCCCTTTTCTCTTCCCTCTCCTTCCCTCTTCCTTCCTTCCCTTTCCCTTCCTTCCCTTTCCCTTCTCCCCTTCCCTTCCTTCCTCTTCCCTCTCTTCCCTTCTTTCTCCCTTCCCTTCCCTCTCCTTCTCTTCCTTCCCCTTTCTCTTCCCTCTTTTCCTTCCTTCTTTCTCTTCCCTTTCTTTCTCCTTCCCTTCCTTTTCCCTCTTCCCTTCTCTTCCCTTCCCTTTTCCCTTCCCTCTCCTTCCCTCTTTTCTCTTCCCTCTTCCCTTCCTCTCTTCCTCCCTCCCTCTCTTCCCTCCCTCTTCCCTTCTTTTCTCTTCCCTTCCCTCCCTCTTTCCTCTTCTTCTTTCTCCCTTCCCTTTCCTTCTCTTCTCTCCTTCCCTTTTCTCCTTCCTTCCCTCTTCCCTTCCTTCTCTCTTCCCTTCCTCCCCTCTTCTTCCCTTCTTCCTTCCTTCCTTCCTTCTTCCTTCTTTCCTTTCCTTTTCCTTCTTCTCCCTTCCTTCTTCCCCTTCCCCCTTCCCTTCTCTCTCTTTCCTTCTTCCCTCCTCCTTTCTCTTCCTTCCACCCTTTTCCTTCCTTCTTTCCTTCTCTTCCTTCCTTCCTTCTTTTTCTTCCTTCTTCCCTCCCTCCCTCCCTCTCTCCCTCCCTTCCTTCCCTCCCTTTCCCTTCCTTCCTTCTCTTCCTTCCCTTCCTCTTCCTTCCTCTTCCCTTCTTCTTCCCTTTCCTCCCTTCTTCTTTCTTTCTCTTTTTCCTTCCTTTCCTCCCTTCCTTTCCTCTTTCTCCCTCCATCCTCCCTTCCCTCTTTTCCTCTTCCTCTTCTCCTTCCTTCCTTCCTTCCTTCCTTCCTTCCTTCCTTCCTTCCTTCCTTCCTTGGAGGCTAAGGCTATCCCTGAGTGCTAGACATTAGGAATAATACAAGTCTAGCTTCTTGGAAAACGACTTGGAAGATGTCGCTGTATTTGTGGGTGAAAAGCTTGTTGGGCTTCCCAGACACATCCGGTTGAGAGGACGGGGTATCGAACTTGGCAGAGTTTTGGTCTGATCCAGCAATCCTCTTTGCACGTTGTTATGGTTTTTAGTGTGGAGAAACCTATTAAATTATTGGTTTTGTGCTTTGTTTTAGAGAGAGTGGATTTAAGCTGCAGTGGGTCGATGACACTCATGCTCTCGGTATCTTCTCCAGTTTGGCAACAGGTAAGTGTTGCTCTTTTTGCAAAAGCTACTGAGTGTAGATGGGCATCAAAGTCAACGGCAAATCCCCTCTGACGAGATCTCAAGAAATGCCTATCACCACCTTAAAATTCACCATTGTTTCTCAACCTTCCTAATGCTGCGACCCCTTAATACAGTTCTTCATGTTGTGGTGACTCCCAACCATAACATTATTTTTGTTGCAACTTCACAACTGTTACGAATCATAATGTAAATATCTGATACGCAGGATGTATTTTCATTCGCTGGACCAAATCTGGCAAAATACCCGATACGCCCAAATTTGTATACTGGTGGGGTTAGTGAGATGATTGACTTTGTCATTTGGGAGTTGTAGTTGCTGGGATTTATAGTTCCCCTACAATCAAAGAGCATGCTGAACTCCACCAATGATGGAATTGAACCAAACTTGGTACACAGAATTCCTATGGCCAACAGAAAATACTGGAAGGGTTTGGTGGACATTGACCTTGAGTTCGGGAGTTGTAGTTCATCTGCATCCAGAGAGCACTGTGGACTCAAACAATGATGGATCTGGACCAAACTTGGAACGGATGCTCAATATGCCCAAATATGAACATTGGTGGAGTTTGGGGAAAATGGACCTTGAGATTTGGGAGTTGTGGTTCCTGGGATTTATAGTTCACCTACAATCAAAGAACATTCTGAACTCCACCAACAATGGAATTGAACCAAACTTGGTACTTCAGAAAATAGAACATACTGGGAGGGTTTGGTGGACATTGGCCTTGAGTTTGGGATTTGTAGTTCATCTGCATCCAGAGAGCACTGTGGACTCTAAACAATGATGGATCTGGACCAAACTTGGCACAAATACTCAATATGCGCAAATGTGAACACTGGTGGAGTTTGGGGGAAAATAGACCTTGAGATTTGGGAGTTGTGGTTGCTGGGATGTATAGTTCACCTACAATCAAAGAACATTCTGAACTCCACCAACGATGGAATTGAACCAGACTTGGCACACAGAACTCCCATGACCAACAGAAAGTACTGGAAGGGTTTGGTGGACGTTGGCCTTGAGTTTGGGAGTTGTAGTTCATCTACATCCAGAGAGCATTGTGGACCCTAAACAATGATAGCTCTGGACCACACTTGGCACGAATACTCAATATGCCCAAATGTAAAAATAGACTTCACATTTGGGAGTTGTAGTAGCTGAGATTTATAGTTCACCTACATTCAGAGAGCATTCTGAACCTCACCAATGATAGAATTGGACAGAACTTCCCAAACACAAACCCCATGACCAATATTGGTTTTCTGATAGTCTTTGGCGCCCCCTCTGAAACCCCCTTGTGACCCCCACAGGGGTCCCAACCCCCAGGTTGAGAAATGCTGTCCTAAGGCTTTCCGGCCTATCAATTCTGTTGGGTGCTTTTCCATACCCTACTAGTTGATACCTATCTGAACAAATAGATTTTCAGTCCGATCCAGCATATCTTTTTGTGCATGTGCATGAAGTATCTGGCTAACCCCATGCATTGTTGTGAAGAATTTTATCCACATGGTACAAATTAATTTCTTCTTGTTGTATATCCCTTCCCCAGCATCTGAAGCACTGGAACAGAGTTATACCTCCTTAAAGGTCCGGCCTCTGATCCATGGTACGAGACAGTCCAAAATCAAAGCACTTCAGCGGCCAAGTAAGAATCATTTAACTTCATAAATATGTCCCTTGTGATGGGAGAGGACTGGGTTTGGCAAAAATGGAGAGGGAATATGACCCATTAGGGCTCCGTACAAGGTAGTGTGCTGTTCCCGGAAACTGTCATCCTTGGTTGAAATTAAGAATGAATCCAACATTTGTTTCTCATCCTGGATCAAAAAGAACTGTCATCTCATTCTGCTTCACGTCTTGGGGGAAAATGTGTCTCTGGACCCACAAAATCCTTTCTGGAGTTCAAAGCTCGTTCTGTTGGAGATTGCAATAATCTCAAGCCTTCTCTATTTAATGTTTCTCTGTTTATAATGTGTTTTTTTTATTTCCTGAAGTGTATGTCGTCTTTGATGTGTTGTCGAAGGCTTCCATGGCCGGAATTGCTGGGTTCCTGTGAGTTTTCCGGGCTGTATGGCTATCTTCCAGAAGCATTCTCTCCTGACATTTCACCCACATCTATGGCAGGCATCCTCAGAGGTTGTGAGGATGCCTACCATAGATGTGGGCGAAACGTCAGGAGAGAATATTGCTGGAACATGGCCATACAGCCCGGAAAACTCACAGCAACCCTATGTCTTGGGTTGTTGTAGGTTTTTCGGGCTATATGGCCATGTTCCAGAAGCATTCTCTCCTGACGTTTCACCCACATCTATGGCAGGCATCCTCACAACCTCTGAGGATGCCTGCCATAGATGTGGGTGAAACGTCAGGAGAGAATGCTTCTGGAACATGGCCATACAACCTGGAAAACTCACAGCAACCTGCTGTCCATAATAATAATAATAATGATGTATTGGCGAAGGCTTTCATGGCCGGAATCACTGGGTTGTTGTAGGTTTTTTCGGGCTATATGGCCATAGTCTAGAGGCATTTTCTCCTGACGTTTCGCCTGCATGTATGGCAAGTATCCTCAAAGGTAGTGAGGTCTGTTGGAACTAGGAAAAAGGGGTTTATATATCTGTGGAATGACCAGGGTGGGAGAAAGAACTCTTGTCTGTTGGAGGTAGGGGTGAATGTTTCAATTGGCCAATTTGATTAGCATTTAATGGCCCAACAGTTTCAAGGTCTGGCTTCTGGCTGCCTGGAAGATGCCTGCCATAGATGCAGATGAAACTTTAGGAGAGAATGCTTCCGGGATATGGCCATACAGCATGGAAAACTAACAACAACCCAGTAATTCCAGCCATGAAAGCCTTCGATAATAACTCTATGTCTTCTTTAGTTTGCAGTTTCCTTAGCTCTATATACTTGAGGCAGTGGGAGGGGCTGCAAATCATGTGATTGCTTCAAATACAGTTTTAAACATGATAGTTGAGGAATGAGAGTTGAGTCTGTTAGAATACAGAAGTCAGTGTTAAAAGTTAAAAACCAGTTGAAGCCCTGAGTCAGCTTGAGTACAGAAGTCTGTTTTTTCAGTCAGATGTGAGTGTAGGAAGTTAGAAAACCATTGATGCTTGAATTCTTTGAAAGCAGACTCTTATCTAAGAGAACGGGACTGTGGCACAGCTGACAGGGAGTCAGCTACATTAAGATCACTTCTGACCAAAAGGTCATGAGTTCGAAACCAGCCCGGGTCGGAGTGAGTTTTCGACCAATTTGTGTAGCTTGCTGTTGACCTTTGCAGCTTGAAAGACAGTTGGATCTGTCAAGTAGGAAAATTGTTGTTATTCATTCATTCAGTCGTCTCCGACTCTTTGTGACCTCATGGACCAGCGCATGCCAGAGCTCCCTGTCGGCCGTCACCACCCCCAGCTCCTTCAAGGTCAGTCCAGTCACTTCAAGGATGCAATCCATCCATCTTGCCCTTGGTCGGCCCCTCTTCCTTTTTCCTTCCATTTTCCCCAGAAAAATTGTCTTTTCTAAGCTTTCCTTTCTTCTCATGATGTGGCCAAAGGACTTCACCTTTGTCCCTAGTCTCCTTCCCTCCAATGAGCAGTCGGGCTTTATTTCCTGGAGGATGGACTGGTTGGATCTTCTCGCAGTCCAAGGCACTCTCAGAACTTTCCTCCAACACCACAGCTCAAAAGCATCTCTCTTCCTTCTCTCAGCCTTCCCTAAGGTCCAGCTCTCACATCCGTAGGTTACTACAGGGAATACCATGGCTTGCCTGAAAGACAGTTGCATCTGTCAAGTAGGAAATTTAGGTACCGCTTATGCGTGGAGGCTAATTGAACTAATTTACGACACCATAAAATTTCCAGCAAGCAAGCAAAAGAATGAGGAAGTACTCCATCAGTGTCACAAATGGATGGTGAAGCAACAGCTCCCTTGATGGCCAGAATACCCTCATGAAGCTGGAATGTTAAATAGCCCCTGTGTGTCTGTCTATATATGTTGTGTGTCTATGGCATTGAATGTTTGCCATGTATATATGCACATTGTAATCCGCCCTGAGTCCTATGCGTGGTGAGAAGGGCAGAATATAAATACTGTAAATAAGTAAATAAATAAATAAATAAACTGTACAGAGCAATATAGTTTTTAGAGACTGTTAAAGACAATAAGTTATAGATACAAACTGAAACGTTTTAAAGTTTAGCCCGACAAGAAATGTGCCTGTATATTTAAATACACAAAGTTATGAGTAAAACAAACATTTTAAAAGAAGTCGACAGTGTTCTCTCACTTATCACAGGCGTTACGTTCTAGGACCACCCGCGAAAAGTGAAAATCCGCGAAGTATGGATGCTCTATATGTATATCGCCTTCCGAGGGTGAGGCAGAAGTGAGGAGAGATTTAAAGGCACTGCACACTTTTTTTATTTTTGGCTAGGTATCTCTGCTTTGCAATCTCTCTTGATTGGTTGCCTCTTTCTCTTCCACACTCCATCGTTGCCAGGAGGTGGGATTAGAACACCACTCAGGGCAACGGCAACCATTCATAAACTGGGAGGCAAAAACCCGCGAAATAGCGGATCCACGAAAAGCGAACTGTGGAATAGCGAGGGAACATTGTTCTTGAATCTTTGTCTGCTGAAAGCACCGAAGAGAAGATACTTACGAGCCCAGTAATCATTCATTAGTCAATAAACTAAAGGGACACCTTCATAACTCTGCTACCCAATAGGTTATGATCCTAAAAGGTCATAATCCCTAATCCCCAATTTATTTATTTACAATATTTATATTCCGCCTTTCTCACCCTAAAAGGGACTCAGGACGGATCGCAGAACACATACCCGGCAAACATTCAATGCCGTTAAACAGACAGGACAGACCACAGATGGAGTTTTTATGTTGGCATTTTCCCCAACTTTGGCATCCTGGAGGTTGTGTTTGATTTTTTCCACAGGAGGGCACTGTTGCTCCATTCTCTATGACAGTGGTTCTCAGCCTTACTAATGCCGTGACCCCTTAATACAGTTCCTCATGTTGTGGCGACCCCAACCATACAATTATTTTCATTGCGACTTCATAACTAATTTTGCTACTGCTATGAATCATAATGTAAATATCTGATATACAGGATGTATTTTCATTCACTGGACCAAATTTAGCACAAATATCCAATACGCCTAAATTTAAATACTGGTGGGGTTGAGGATGGATTGATTTTTTCATTTGGGAGTTGTAGTTGCTGGGATTTATCATTCACCTACAGTCAAAGGGCTGTAGGTGAACTATACCAATTCTACCAACGATTGAATTCAACCAAATTTGGCACAAATAACTCCCATAACCAACAGAAAATACTGGAAGGGTTTGGTGGGCATTGACCTGGAGTTCTGGAGTTGTAGTTCACCTTCATCCAGAGAACACTGTGGACTCAAACAATGATGGACAATGATGGATCCGGACCAAACTTGGCACGGATACTCAATATGCCCAGATGTAAACACTGGTGGAGTTTGGAGAAAATAGAGCTTGACATTTGGGTGTTGTTTATAGTTCACCTACAATCAAAGAGCATTCTGAACCCCACCAAGATAGAATTGGGCCAAACTTCTCACACAGAACCCCATGACCAACAGAAAATACCCCTCTGACACCCCCCTCACGACCCCCTCAGGGGCCCCGACCCCCAGGTTGAGAACCACTGCTCTATTACTAATCTATATATATATAAATTTGTTAGGGGCATCCAACGAGGAAACAAAACTCAAAAACCCCCCAACGAAACTTAACCAAAATTCCCATGCCCATAACACAACCACAAGGTACAAACATATCTACTCAAAATGAAAAACAACACAACAACACACTCACAAAACGGCAAAACAACAAAACTCAAAAATCCCCCAACGAAACTTAACAAAATTCCCATGCCCATAACACAACCCACAAGGTACAAACATATCTACTCAAAATGAAAAACAACACAACAACACACTCACAAAACGGCAAAACAACAAAACTCAAAAACCCCCAACGAAACTTAACCAAAATTCCCATGCCCATAACACAACCCACAAGGTACAAACATATCTACTCAAAACGAAAAACAACACAACAACACACTCACAAAACGGCAAAACAACAAAACTCAAAAAAACCCAACGAAACTTAACCAAAATTCCCATGCCCATAACACAACCCACAAGGTACAAACATATCTATTCAAAATGAAAAACAACACAACAACACACTCACAAAACGGCAAAACAACAAAACTCAAAAAAACAACGAAACTTAACCAAAATTCCCATGCCCATAACACAACCCACAAGGTACAAACATATCTACTCAAAATGAAAAACAACACAACAACACACTCAAAATGGCAAAAAAACAAAACTCAAAACCCCCCCAACGAAACTTAACCAAAATTCCCATGCCCATAACACAACCCACAAGGTACAAACATATCTACTCAAAATGAAAAACAACACAACAACACACTCACAAAACGGCAAAACAACTGAGCATGCACATTGGCGCCCAGCCGCAAGTTCCCTGGCGCGCGCACATGCCCTTCCGGCCAACGTTCCCTCTGCGGAAACCATGCCCACTCCAAGCCCCGCCGCGCCGCTTCCCACACACACACACACCCCTGCCGCACATACACACACAACCCCACACTCCATCACTCCCCCCGCCGCCGCACACACACACGCAACCCCACGCTCCATCACTTCCCCCGCCGCCGCACGCACACACGCAACCCCACTCCCCCCGCCGCACACACACACGCAACCCCACGCTCCATCACTCCCCCCCGCTGCCGCACGCACACACGCAACCCCACTCCCCCCGCCGCCGCACACACACACAACCCCACGCTCCATCACTCCCCCGCCACCGCACACACACAAGCAACCCCACGCTCCATCACTCCCACCGCCGCACACACACACACAACCCCACGCTCCATCACTCCCCCCAATCTTACCTCCTTTTACTTCACGCCACCTCCAAACCCCACCCTGCCCCTTCCCGCCCTGTCAAAATCTAGGAAAGACAGGAAGGAAGGAAAGAAGGAAGAAAGAGAAAGGGAGGTAAAGAAAAAGGGGGAAGGAAGGAAAGTTAGAGAAAGAAGGAAGAAGAAAAGGAAAGAAAAGGAAGGATGGAAGGAAAGAAAAGAGAGACAGCAGAAGAGAAAGAAAAAGGGGGAAAAGGAAAGAGAGGAAGGAAGAGGAGAAGGAAAGAGAGGAAGGAAGGAAGGAAAGAAGGAGAGAAAGAGGGAAGATTGGCCACAGCAACACGTGGCGGGTAAAGGTTGTTATTTCTATTATTATTATTATTATTATTATTATTATTATTATTATTATTATTATGCTATTGTTCCTATGAGACCCTGGAGGAATGGGAGAGGTGTCAGGTCCCAGAGGCAATACATTGCATTATTGTTATTGTTATGATGGTGGTAAAATAAAAGGAAATAAAAAGTGAAAGAAGGAAGCAAACAGGGAGGGAAGAAAGGCAAAGGAAGAAAGGGGGAGGGAATGAAGGAAAGAGAGAAGGATGAAACCAAGGAGTGAAAGAAAGAAAGAGGTAGAGAAGGAAGAAAGGAGAGAAAGGGGGAGGAAAAGGGGGAAGGAATAGGTAGGTACCTCTCTTTCATAATAGTCCAGATATCTACCTCAACTTTGATAAGTTTTACTATAGGTCACAGCAACGCGTGGCAGGGCACAGCTAGTACTAATATATAATAATAGAAAACACAAAACGGCAAAACAAAAAACTCAAAAAACCCCAACGAAACTTAACCAAAATTCCCATGCCCATAACACAACCCACAAGGTACAAACATATCTACTCAAAATGAAAAACAACACAACAACACACTCACAAAACGGCAAAAGAATAAAACTCAAAAAAACCCAACGAAACTTAACCAAAATTCCCATGCTCATAACACAACCCACAAGGTACAAACATATCTACTCAAAATGAAAAACAACACAACAACACACTCAAAACGGCAAAAAACAAAACTCAAAAACCCCCAATGAAACTTAACCAAAATTCCCATGCCCATAACACAACCCACAAGGTACAAACATATCTACTCAAAATGAAAAACAACACAACAACACACTCACAAAACGGCAAAAGGATAAAACTCTAAAAAAACCAACGAAACTTAACCAAAATTCCCATGCTCATAACACAACCCACAAGGTACAAACATATCTACTCAAAATGAAAAACAACACAACAACACACTCACAAAACGGCAAAACAACTGAGCATGCGCATTGGCGCCCAGCCGCAAGTTCCCTGGCGCGCGCACATGCCCTTCCGGCCAACGTTCCCTCTGCGGAAACCATGCCCACTCCAAGCCCCGCCGCGCTGCTTCCTGCACACACACACACCCCTGCCGCACATACACACACAACCCCACACTCCATCACTCCCCCCGCCGCCGCACACACACACGCAACCCCACTCCCCCCGCCGCCGCACACACACACGCAACCCCACACTCCATCACTTCCCCCGCTGCTGCACGCACACACGCAACCCCACTCCCCCCGCCGCCGCACACACACACGCAACCCCACGCTCCACCCCCGCCGCCGCACACACGCAACCCCACTCCCCCCCGCCGCACACCACACGCAACCCCACGCTCCTTCACTCCCCCTGCCGCCACACACACACGCAACCCCACGCTCCATCACTCCCCCCGCTGCCGCACACACACACACAACCTCACGCTCCATCACTCGCCTGCCCCAATCTTACCTCCTTTTACTTCACGCCACCTCCAAACCCCACCCCGCCCCTTCCCGCCCTGTCAAAATCCAGGAAAGACAGGAAGGAAGGAAAGAAGGAAGAAAGAGAAAGGGAGGTAAAGAAAAAGGGGGAAGGAAGGAAAGTTAGAGAAAGAAGGAAAAAGAAAAGGAAAGAAAAGGAAAGAAAGGAAAGAAGGAGACAGCAGAAAAGAAAGAAAAAGGGGAAGGAAGGAAAGAGATAGAGAAGGAAGAGGAGAAGGAAAGAGGGGAGGGAAGGAAGGAGGAAGGAGGGAAAGAAGGAGAGAAAGAGGGAAGGTTGGCCACAGCAACACGTGGCGGGTAAAGGTTGTTATTTCTATTATTATTATTATTATTATTATTATGCTATTGTTCCTATGAGACCCTGGAGGAATGGGAGAGGTGTCAGGTCCCAGAGGCAATACATTGCATTATTGTTATTGTTATGATGGTGGTAAAATAAAAGGAAATAAAAAGTGAAAGAAGGAAGCAAACAGGGAGGGAAGAAAGGCAAAGGAAGAAAGGGGGAGGGAATGAAGGAAAGAGAGAAGGATGAAACCAAGTAGTGAAAGAAGGAAAGAAAGAAAGAGGTAGAGAAGGAAGAAAGGAGAGAAAGGGGGAGGAAAGGGGGGAAGGAATAGGTAGGGACCTCTCTTTCATAATAGTCCAGATATCTACCTCAACTTTGATAAGTTTTACTATAGGCCACAGCAACGCGTGGCAGGGCACAGCTAGTATAATATAATGTATAATATGTGGTATATACATATAATATTTATAATATTATAATGTACTAGCTGTACCCTGCCACGCGTTGTTGTGGCCTATAGTAAAAAAAATTGAATTAGAGGTAGATATCTGGACTATTATGAAAGAGAGGTACCTTCCTATTCCTTCCCCCCTTTTTCTTCCCCTTCCCCTTTTTCTCCTTTCTTCCTTCTCTACCTCTTTCTTTCATTCCTTCTTTTGCTCTCTGGTTTCATCCTTCCTTCTCTCTTTCTTTCCTTCCTTCTCTTCCTCCCTTCTTTACTACTTCCTTTGTCTCCTTCCTTCCCTCCCTGTTTCCTTCCTTCTTTCACTTTTTATTTCCTTTTCTCCTTCCTTCTTTCTTTACCTCTTCCCTGCCTTTCCCTCCCTTTTTCTTTCCTTTCTACTTTCTCTTCTTCCTTTCTTCACTACCTCTTTCCTTCCTTCCCTCCTTCTTTCCCTTCCTCCTTCTCTTTCCTTCCTTCCTCCTTTCCCTCCTTCATTCCTTCCCTCTTTCTTTCTCTCCTTTCTTCTCTCCTTCCTTCCTGTCTGTTCTCCCCCAATACCATGGTAGAGTCCCTTCTAACTCTATTCTATGAGTCTATTTAATATAGTAATATGTAGTAGTAACATTATATTATATAGTAGTATATATAACAATAATATATATTTTTTTTGAATCTAGAGGTGTTTTTGTGGGTTTTTTTCCCCAGTGATGGTCACTTCTTGGATTGTGAGGAGTTTTGTGGCCAAATTTGGGATCATTTGGCCTCATATTTTATTACGGACAGAGCATTTTTATATCTATAGATTACAATATAATACTACTAATAATACAATATTATACTTATATATTTTATATTACATGTAATATTATTAATAATATTACAATATAATGGTATAGTACAACATAGTAATATATACTACTGATAATTGTACTATGTTAATAATATAATATAATGTATGTATATATATATATATCATGTAAGTCGCTCTGAGTTCCTTTCGGGGTGAGAGGGGTGGCATATAAACATAGTAAATAAATAAATAAATAATACTTGCAGCACACAGCTGTTTTCAAATTGCTTACGTGGACAGTAAGCTGGGCTGAAGGTCAAGTGCTCACCCTGACCTGGGCTTCGAACTGCCAACCTTTCGATTGGTAAGATGTATTGCTACTGGTGATTAACCAGCTGTGCTAAAGCCCGGCCCGAATCCCCAATAGGTTGTCATCCTAACAGGTCGTCATCCTTATCCCATTACGTTTTGACAGTTTCTACAGCATTCCTTCTGTTGCATTCCCTCCCTGACTGTTCATTTCTATTCCTCCTCTTCTGGGTCTCCTTAGAGCTCCTGCAACTGGCCAAAGAGCGGCCTCAGACAGATACCGCGGTGGCCAGAAGGCTGGTGTCCAGAGCCCTGGGATTGCCACGGAAAACGCCACAGGACCTTCCTTGCCAATCGCCGGAGCCACAGAACGCAAAACCGGCAGAGTAAAGCTAGCTACATGGGGCGATGACGACGATGTTTGGGGTGTGGTATTAAACCATGTATACCAACAGTGTGATGGTGGCAGGTCTCCTCTCTGCCTATTGGATAGCCCTCGTGGGTTTGTTTTTTGGGTTTGTTTTTCAGCACAGAAATACTGGTTGTGTTAGAAACGAGAAATGTCTCGTGTTGGTGAGACTTCATGGCGAGTTCCACAAACCCCCACATGTTTGGAAAACCATGTCAAATGGGACCACGGCATAAGAAACTGCCACCCCCTTTTTTATTTTGCAATATGGCCAGTGCATATTTACATTCGCGTGTATGTGACCAGGTTGGTTTTATTTTTATTTTGTTTGCAAAACGGCTCGGAAAAGTTGGCAAGACTTGGAACGGACATTCCGAGCCCGAAGATGGTAAATATTCCCAGTCCAGTAGGATAACTTTTGTGCTTTCCTTTCTTTCTCCTCCCTGTGCGTCTCGAGCGGAGCTGAGGGATGTTCATTCCAGCCAGAAAGAACTAGAAAGGAAGAGAGTGGTCAACTCCTTCAATGCCCTCACCAAGCTCAGATTTCGGATGCACTTAAGATTGAGATACAAATCACAATACCCAGGAATTGTTTTTGGAAGTGGTTGGGAACTCTGGAAACTGGATGGTGGGAAAAAGTCAGTAGTGTCTTAATGTCAGACTGTAGGATCCAAATAGCAATATTAAATAACCGCTCACAAGCCGGTTTTGCTTTGAAATGGATATATTGCTTGTATCTCCACAACAAAGAAAGACATGACTGACTTTTTCCCACCACCTTTCCTGCCCATCTCGCCATCTTTTCAGTTTCCTTATTAGAACTTGTTTCTTCACAAGTTCCATCACATGGTTTCCAGTGCCCTGATTCAATCAGGATGTCACAGAGGGAATTGTGATGCCTTCATACTGTCAGAAATCGACTCCAAACAACCAGAAAGTAAACAAAGAACGAAGGAGCCTTCTCTCCTTTTTTTCTCCCCTTGGAAAAGGTAATGTGTTGAAGATAGAGGTTGAAATTCCCTTGAAGACTTTTGTTTTGATAGAATGACAATAGTTATTGTTGTATTATCTATGGTCTTTTTTGCGCCATGGGTTTTGCTAAGTTAAGGCAGCAGCTGCCAGGCAGTCCTTAGGCACAACTGTCCCTTGTGATGTGGACCAGTTTGCCATCTTCACAACCTGCATAAACATTTGGGTTACCACCTGCCAGCTGTAAAGGGTTTCCATATACTTCTTGCCTGGGATTCTGGCCTCATGTAGCTCAAATTTGCAAATAAATACCCCAAAGTGCACCATCCTTGCACCAAAGGATGGTCAGCCTCTCCATTCCCTTAGGAATGTGACAAACCATAAATGACAAAACAATGACAATGTTTGCAGCAGTTCAATGCCTTCTTTACTCAAAGTTTGTTAAGGAGTTTCCCCCCCCCCCTCTGGTTTTGGTGTTTTGCATTAAAACGGTTAACACAAATACGCAATGTTTTGTTTTCCAAATCCTTATTCTTTTTACCCGCTGGTAAACAAGCACTTTTGTCTCTTGCTTGCTCATTTCGATAGGTCTAGAGGCAGGGTAGTATTTGGTCCATTTTGGGGTAGCTTGGCCAGTTTTGTCATTTCTGCCATAAAATAATCCAAACGAACAAGGGTGAATTGTGGTCGTGCCACGGTTTGGAAATGGCACGTGGTGATGATGCATTGAGATACATCTCTGTATTGCACAGCTGAATCCTTGCATTAGTTGTGGACTAGATTCCTTGGAAAGGCTGCTTTGGGGTAGCACACTCCCACCACTCTCAACAGTTTAGAAGTTGAGAATTGGTGGGATTGTGGCACCCCAAATGGTGGGATTGTGGTACTCCAGGGTGGGACATCTGTGGAATGGGTTCCTGAGGCAGCAACCAGCCAGGCTTTGAAGCTGTAAGGCCATTAAATGCTAATCAAGGCAACCAATTGAAACATTCACACTTAGCTCCAACAGACAAGAGTTCTTTCTCCCACCCTGGGCATTCCACAGATACATAAACCCCATTTTCCTAATTTCCAACACACTTCACAACCTCTGAGGATGCCTAACGTAGATGTGGGTGTAACGTCAGGAGAGAATGCTTCTGGAACAGGGCCAGACAGCCCGGAAAACTCACAACCACCCAGATTGTGATACCATAACATAACATTTCCAAGCTCTGACTCTGGCTTCGGCTAAATGTAGTCAGGGATTAGGAGAGCAGCCTAATTTTCCAACATGGACAGGAAGTACCTTGCTGTAAGTTTTCCAGACTGTATGGCCATGTTCCAGTAGCACTCTCTCCTGACATTTCACCTACATCTAAAATCAAAACTCTAAAATCGAAACATTAAATAAAGAACAACACTCAAAAACTAGGGAATTCCAGACAGGAAACGATCAGGGCCAGCTAATCACCTCCCAACAAAGGATTCCCTCAGGCAGGAAGCAGCCAGACCTTGAAACTACAACGCCATTAAATGCTAATCAAGGTAGGCAATTGGAACAACCTCAAACACACAAGAGTTCTTTCTCCCACTCTGGACGTAATTCCACAGATATATAAACCCCACTTGCCTAGACCTCACAACCTCGAAGGATGCAGGCAAAATGTCAGGGGAAAATGCTTCTGGAACATGGTCGTGCAGCCCAGGAAACTCACAACAACCCAGTGATTCCGGCTATGAAGGCCTTCAACAACAGAATCAGGGTCAGCTAAGACTTCCCTACAAAGGATTTCCCCAGGCAGGAAGCAGCCAAGCTTTGAAGCTGCGAGGCTATTCAGTACTAACCAGTGTAGCCAATTGCAACATTCACACTTGCCTCCAACAGACAAAGAGTACTTTCTCCCACCCTGGAGCTCATTCCACAGATAAATAAACCCCACTTGCCTAGTTTCTGGAACATGGCCGTACAGCCCGGAAAACTCACGGCAAACCAGCCTTCGACAAAACATAGACATTCTGTTGTCATTGCTATTAAGGCTGGCAATGTCACCTAGTAAGTGGTGGCCACTCAAGACTCAAAATGGCTCTGCTCATTGGAAATAGACTACTTGCACCACTGTTTTCTGTTTCCCTGGACATGTTGGATAGGAAACATTTTCAAGTAGCTGTGGATCTTTGTAGCAACCATGACCTCAAACAAACAGAGGTACGTGTGCTTAGCACTGCGATGCGTATGCTTGCTCCATCCATGTTCAACATCTACACAAATGACCAGCCACTGCCAGAAGGGACAGAGAGTTTCATCTATGCTGATGATCGTGCCATTACTGCCCAAGCAGGGAGGTTTGAGATGGCTGAACAGAAGCTTTCCGAAGCTCTAGGTGCTCTAACTGCCTATTACAGGGAAAACCAGCTGATCCCTAATCCATCTAAAACACAGACATGTGCCTTTCACCTTAAGAACAGACAAGCATCCCGAGCTCTGAGGATCACCTGGGAAGGAATCCCACTGGAGCATTGCAGCGCACCCAAATACCTGGGAGTCACTCTGGACCGTGCTCTGACTTACAAGAAGCACTGCCTGAACATCAAGCAAAAAGTGGGTGCTAGAAACAATATCATACGAAAGCTGACTGGCACAACCTGGGGATCACAACCAGACACAGTGAAGACATCTGCCCTTGCGCTTTGCTACTCTGCTGCTGATACATGCCCAGTGTGGAATACATCTCACCACTAAAACAGTGGATGTGGCTCTTAATGAGACATGCCGCATTATCACGGGGTGTCTGCGCCCTCCACCACTGGAGAAATTACACTGCTTAGCCGGCATTGCACCACCTGACATCCGTCTGGAAGTAGCAGCCAATAGTGAAAGGACCAAGGCAGTGACATCTCCAGCTCATCCCCTGTTTGGGTATCAGCCAGCACGTCAACGACTTAAATCTAGAAATAGTTTTCTAAGATCTACAGAGACACTCGCTGGAACACCTCAGCAAGCGAGAGTCCAAAAGTGGCAGGCTCAAACCCAGAACATCAATCCATGGCTGATACCAAATGAGAGACTGGGCACACAGGGCACACAGAGAACTGGGCGACTTGGAAGGCGCTGAACAGACTGCGCTCTGGCACCACGAGATGCAGAGCCAACCTTCAGAAATGGGGCCACAAAGTGGAATCCTCGACATGCGAGTGTGGAGAAGAGCAAACCACTGACCACCTGCTGCAATGCACCCTGAGCCCTGCCACATGCACCATGGAGGACCTTCTTGCGGCAACACCAGAGGCACTCCAAGTGGCCAGATACTGGTCAAAGGACATTTAATCAACGACCAAGCTTGCAAATTTTGTGTTTTGTCTGTTTGTTTGCTTTGTTCTGTTAGAAATGTAATATAATTGACTGGTTGCCCTGACACGACAAATAAATAAATTAAATAACCGCGATGCCTTTAGTAACGTGTCCACAAAAGATATCAAAGGTGGCAAAATGGGGGTCAGAAGGGACTGTCACAAGCACAACACCAGAGTAATTCCGTTGTAGTACGGAAGGTGGACCGGGAGAAGGCATTGAAGTGGGGTCAACGGCGGTAAAAATTCACAGTCTAGTGGCTTTGGAAACCAAGATACGGGGAACGTTTCCCCATCATGCTGTTATCAAACTGTCAAGTGCTCTTGGAGACTCTATTACGTAGACTCTGAGGACTTCCACGGGTCTTCCGTTCTGCACCCGTAGCGTTGAGTGAGACCTTCAAGTCCTACTAAGACAGTATGTGGAGTTGTGGAAGACGTTTCTTGGTGGGAATGGGGGGAAAGTCATAACTTGGAAGATCCAGACATCCTTGGTGTGGGTTGTCCACGAGGTGGTGCTGCTGCCTTGGTCGTGGTGAACCAAGGTGGCCGGAGAGCTTGCAATGACGATCTTGGAGAGTCAATGCTACTTCTGTTACTGCTGAACACACACACACAAAATAGGCAACGAACACACCCTTGAAAATAACTTACAAAGCTAATTTTTAAAGTTCATAGTTGTTTTCTTGATTACTTTCTTTTCTGAGCAGTGGTTTGGGAAATCACGGGAAGAAAGGGCAACGTCATCGTTCCTAAAAACTGGATTAAGACACCAGGTTGGTCATCAGTCCTTTCTGGTGATTAAATTTCTCTTCTATTGAGTCGCTGTAGGAGTTGACTGTCGGGAGAGAAAAAGCAAAGAGATGTTATTGGTAGCTGGGTTATTAGTAACACTGAACTACAACACTGCCTGAGCTCTGCAAGTGCAGCTTTTTTCTCAATGAAGCAGAGCGTGTTTGAGGACCGGGACATCCGTAGGGAGACCAAGAGGCTTGTTTATAAAGCTATTGTCCTCCCAATCCTGCTATATGCCTGTGAAACGTGGACTGTCTACAGACATCAACATTGAGACTGAAATACAACACTGCCTGAGCTTTGCGAGTGCAGCATTTTTCCAAATGTGCAAAGAGTGTTTGAGGACCAGGACATCCGTAGGGAGACCAAGAGGCTTGTTTATAAAGCTATTTTCCTCCCAACCCTGCTATATGCCTGTGAAACGTGGTCTAGTTTGACTAGAGACCACTTGACCAGGAGCCACTTTGACTAGGGATCACTTTGACTAGGGACCACTTTGATCAGGGATGAATTTGACCAGGGACCACTTGTCCAGGGCCACTTGACTAAGGATCACTTTGACTAGAGACCACGTGACCAGGGGCCACCTGACTAGAGGCCACTTTGACTAGGGATCACTTTGACTAGGGACCACTTTGATCAGGGATGAATTTGACCAGGGCCCACTTGTCCAGGGCCACTTGACTAGGGGCCACTTTGACTAGAGACCATGTGACCAGGGGCCACTTGACTAGGGGCCACTTTGACTAGGGATCACTTTGACTAGGGACCACTTTGACCAGGGATGAATTTGACCAAGGACCACTTGCCCAGGACCACTTGACTAGGGGCCACTTTGACTAGAGACCACTTGACTAGAGACCACTTGACCAGGGACCACTTGACCAGGGGACCCTTTGACTAGAGACCACTTGACTAGAGACCACTTGACCAGGGACCACTTGACTAGAGACTGCTTTGACTAGGGACCACTTTGACCAGGGACCACGTGACCAGGACCGCATGACCAGGTCCGCATGACTGCATGATAAACAGAAAACCTGGGATCAGATCTTGGGATATAGGTAAGTATAGATCCAGGGACCACTTGACTAGGGGCCACTTTAACCAGGGGTCACTTTGACTAGAGACCACTTGACCAGGGACCACTTTGACTGGGGACCTCTCTCCAACATTGATATCTAAAGGGTTATGAATCAGAAAATTGCATTGGATAGACCACATCAGCTCTAGTTTCTGATACAGAACATATGCCACCCAGTAGTCGTCTTCTGCTTGCCCACAGAAAACCATATTTAATAATCTAGAGTTGATCTGGAAGTAGAAATCTTTCGTGGGTAGTCAGCCTCTCCCCTCCCAACATCCCTATTGCCTTGGCACTATAAGAGAGTTTCATGGGACCAGTCGCTCTAGTTGTCGCGTGGTTTCAAGGCAACGGTGTAGTAATGGTGAGGCTGTGGACCATATTTTCGTTCTTGGGGACCACTGGTGGTCCATGGGCCACAGGCTGGGAACCCCTGAAACAGTGGGGCTGCAGCCTAGCCAGGATGACAGGTTATATCAACACCAAAACAAATAAAGTATCTCTGAAAAACCAGTCTAAAAACAAGGGAGAGAGAACCCACCTGTATGACATTCGTACAACCAGATGCGGTCGAAATCATATTTGCATTTACATCTCATAATGTTGTTGGTAAAATCCGTCTCTGCCACTTCATAGTTTGGATTGACAATGAGCTGGAAAAAAAAAAAAACCAACAGTGGAGCCTTAGGAGGATCTATCCCAAACTTTTTGCTTTGGAGGAAGAAAATTCAGGTCTTGGGGAAACCCTGCATGAAAATGATTAAATCTGGGTTGCTGTGAGTTTTCCGGGCTGTACGGCCATGTTCCAGAAACATTTTCTCCTGGACTTTCATACCCACACTCTAGTGCAGTGTTTCTCAACCTGGGGGTCGGGACCCACATGTGGGTCGCGAGGGGGTGTCAGAGGGGTCGCCAAAGACCATCAGAAAACATAGTATTTTCTGTTGGTCATGGGGGTTCTGTGTGGAAAGTTTGGTCCAATTCTATTGGTGGGGTTCAGAATGCTATTTTGTGGGTGAACGATAAATCCCAAAAACTACAACTCCCAAATGGCAAGGTCTATTTTCTCCAAACTCTACCAGTGTTCACATTTGGGCATATTGAGTATTGTGCCAAGTCCACAATGTTCTCTGGATGTAGGTGAACTACAACTCCAAAACTCAAGGTCAATGCCCACCAAATCCTTCCAGTATTTTCTTTTGGTCATGGGAGTTATGTGTGCCAAGTTTGGTTCAATTCCATCATGGTGGAGTTCAGAATGCTCTTTGATTGTAGGTGAACTATAAATCCCAGCAACTACAACAAATGACAAAATCACCCCCAACCTCACCAGTATTCAAATTTGGGAGTATTGGGTATTTGTGCCAAATTTGGTCCAGTGACTGAAAATACATCCTGCATATCAGATATTTAGATTACCATTCATAACAGTAGCAAAATTACAGTTGTGAAGTAGCAATGAAAATAATATTATGGTTGGGGGTCAACACAACATGAGGACCTGTACTAAGGGGCCGCGGCATTAGGAAGGTTGAGAACCACTGCTCTAATGAATTCTTTGTTTAGACTTGGGGCCTCACCCCAAAGACATCTTATTATGTACTAGCTGTACCCACCAAACGTTACTGTTGCCAACCTTCCTCTTTCTGTCCTTCCTTCCCTCCCTTTTTTCTTTTGTTCTCTTCCTTCCTTCCTTCCTTCCTTCCTTCCTTCCTTCTCTTCTCTTCTCTTCTCTCCTCTCCTCTTCCTCTTCCTCTTCCTCTTCCTCTTCCTCTTCCCTTCCTTCCCCCCTTTTCCTTCCCTTTCCCTTTCTTCCTTCTCTACCTATTCTTGGACTGCAACTCCCAGCAGTCCTGATTGATCTACCTACCTACCTATCTATCTCCATCTAATCTATCTATCTGGAGGATTGCTGGGAGTTGCAGTCCAGGAATAGGAAATTGGAAACATGCCGGGATTGGGATGCTCTCAAAGAGATCCAAGGAGAAGAAAGCTTGCCTCTTGGAAGCAGTGCATTTGGATCACCTTCCTCTCCTAAAGGGCCTGGTCTAAGGGATGCTGGGAGCTGTAGTCCGAAAGAGAGTGTGGGTATGCTTTTGGGTGTTTTGTTTGCCAGGGGGAGTTGTTTTTGTGCATGCGCTGCAGCGTCTTTTTGCTTTTTTGACTTTTAAGTCCCTCCCGCTGTGTTTTTCAGTGTTTTTCTGAGTGATGGTCACTCCCTGGCCTGAGAGGTGTCTTGTGCCCAAATTTGGTATCAAATTGTCCAGTGGTTTTTGAGTTATGCTAATCCCACAAACGAACATTACATTTTCATTTATATAGACTAGCCGTCCCCTGCCACGCGTTGCTGTGGCCAGCCTGTGTATGCATATTTTGTGTGTGTATATATTTGTGTATATGTGTATATATTAGTGTGTTTGCGTATATATGTGTTTTTGCACATGTGTTGTAATGTAGTTTTTTTGGCTGTTTAAGTCTCTTCTGCTATTTTTCAGTGTTTTTATGAGTGATGGTCACTTGTTGGCCTGATACTTGTCTTGTGTCCAAATTTGGTGTCAATTCATCCAGTGGTTTTTGAGTTATGTTAATCCCATAAACGAACATTACATTGGGTTGTTTTAGGTTTTTCCGGGCTATATGGCCATGTTCTAGAGGCATTTTCTCCTGACGTTTCGCCTGCATCTATGGCAAGCATCCATGAACTCTTCTCTGCTGAAGCCAGGTGTGAATGTTTCAACTGACCACCTTCATTAGCATTTGAAGGCCTGGCTGAGCCTTCAAACTCTCAACAAAAGATTTCCCCAGGCTCAGCCAGGCCTTCAAATGCTAATGAAGGTGGTCAGCTGCAACATTCACACTTGCCTCAAGCAGACAAGAGTTCTTTCTCCCACCCTGAACATTCCACAGATATATAAACCTCACTTGCCTAGTTTCCAACAGACCTCACAACCTCCGAGGATGCCTGCCATAGATGTGGGCAAAATGTCAGGAGATAATACTTCTGGAACATGCTCATATAGCCCGGAAAACTCACAGCAACTCCATGATTCCAGTCATGAAAGCCTTCGACAACACATACTAGTAAAATGTTTTCAAATAAACTATCATACTAAAAACAAGATTGAAGTGGGTTAAAGCACTGAGCTGCTGAGCTTGTTGATCGAAAGGTCGCCGGTTCGATTCCACGGAGCGGCGTGAGCTTCCGCTGTCAGCCCTAGCTTCTGCCAACCTAGCAGTTCGAAAATATGCAAATGTGAGTAGATTAATAGGGACCGCTCCAGTGGGAAGGTAATGGCGCTCCATGCAGTCATGCTGGCCACATGACCTTGGAGGTGACTATGGACAATGCCAGCTCTTCGGCTTAGAAATAGAGATGACCACCACACCCCAGATTTGGACATGACTGGACTTAATGTCAGGGGAAAACCTTTACCTTTTTATGTGCGGTTCCAAAATAAATATAGTAATACAAAAATGAAATCCAAAGCATTTTGGATAGGAGATACTCCAAAAAAGTTACTGCTGGTTGCATGAGCAGTTGGGTTTGAGGCATTTGGACTAAGCCGACTGTGGGTGTCCTCAGCTTGCAAACCTGCATCCTACCTGGAGGATATAGTCTCCTGTCTTGACATCTGTTACATCAATCCACTGGCAGTCGATACCATGCTGGTAGATGTCGTAGCACCCAGAGGTGATCCCTTGCTCCCCGAAATTGTAACATCCATACTGAGGCTCGATTCCTGAACGGGGAAACATAAACAAAGGCAGGATCAGCATTGAGATAGTTTCCAGGTCCCTTTGGAAAATACCTTCCAGGAAGAGCCTAGCTACTGGATTCAGCTGGGATGTTCCAGATGTTCAATAGCGGCCCCGTCTTTCTGGATGATGTGTTGGCTGCACTTAAATCCTCTCCTTTGCCCAGCTTTGCCTGGGGCGGCTCTAGATTGTACAATTAGTTCAAGGAACTCAGGGTCTGATCCAATTTTGGTTGTGTAAGCAGCAAACAGAGTAATAGAGGATTGTTGTAGGTTTTTCCGGGCTATATGGCCATGTTCTGGAGGCAATTTTTCTCCTGACGTTTCGCCTGCATCTATGGCAAGCATTCTCAGAGGTAGTGAGGTCTGTTGGAAGTAGGAAAAATGGGTTTATATATCTGTGGAATGACCAGGGTGAGACAAAGGACTCTTGTCTGCTGGGGCTAGCTGTGAATGTTTCAGCTGATCACCTTGATTTGCATTCAATGGCTTGGAAGCGCCTGGGGGGAATCTTTTGTTGAGAGTGATTTCATGTGCCTGTTTGTTTCCCCTCTGTTGTTTCGATGCTGTAATTTTTGAGTTCCAAACGCAGCGCCTATACACGCATCAAGGAACATGAAAGGCACTGCAAACTACTCCAACCAGAGAAATCAGCCATAGCAGAGCACCTGATGAACCAACCTGGACACAGCATATTATTTGAGAACACAGAAGTGCTGGACCACTCTCACAACCACCATGTCAGACTACACAGAGAAGCCATTGAAATCCACAAGCATGTGGACAATTTCAACAGAAAGGAGGAAACCATGAAAATGAACAAAATCTGGCTACCAGTATTAAAAAACTCAAAAATTAAAACAGCAAAACAACAGAGGGGAAACAAACAGGCACATAAACCTCTCAACAAAAGATTCCCCCCAGGCCCTTCCAAGCCATTGAATGCTAATCAAGGTGATCAGCTGAAATAGTCACGCCTAGCTCCAGCAGACAAAAGTCCTTTGTCTCACCCTGGTCATTCCACAGATATATAAACCCATTTTTCCTACTTCCAACAGACCTCACTACCTCTGAGGATGCTTGCCATAGATGCAGGCGAAACGTCAGGAGAAAAATTGCCTCCAGAACATGGCCATATAGCCCAGAAAAACCTACAACAACCCAAAAGAAACAGTTCTCAAAGCCAGTTGCCTGTCCCTTCTCCTAGCTATTTACTAAGCTTCAATAAAAGAAGATTTGTTTCTTCACTCTTTGTGCAGTGTGTTTTAGAGTCAGAGGGTTTTTTCCTGATCTGGAGAGCAACAAAGGCTTCCCACCAAAATGGAACTGTAGAGGAGAGTCTACTGAGCAAGCCAGTACCTGCCGCATACCACTACTGCCATCTGTTGAAGAGTTACGAAGGTGGAGGCATTACTTTTCATTCAACCCTCGCAGCCTAGAAATCTCGAACTACTGTTCTCTGAGATTTCAGCTGACACAAATGCATACTGATTTCATGATCATACATAAAATCAGCACCTTACGATCGCTGTAAAAAAAAACCACGATTCGAATCATGTGTACAATTACTCTACGTCTGTGGCATTTTGGATGTGTACAATTACTTCACGTCTGTGGCATTAATCTGTTGGATTCCAACAGATTAACTGGCGGAATGGGACAAACGTTGTGTGATAGGACCTCTTCAGAATCGCGTTCCAAAGAGGATCGAAAACGGATCATCTCCCAATGTGATAAGGTCCTAAGTAGTTCATTCAAAACATTAGCAGCTGCTGAAATGTGTGTTATCAGCAAGACTAATCTCGACTCCAGCCTGGGAAGAAATGTTAGAATACACGTTGAGGGTAGATGAGAATCATACATACCTTCTGAACAGCCACTGTCTTCCAGGCAAAAGCTGGCTTTGTGTCCTTCAGCCACTTTTTTCCCTTTTTGATCCAGGAGGTCGTAATGTGTGAACACCTCCATGCTGTGGTAATGCCTGCAGGAACCAGAAGGGAAGCAAACACTGAAATTAAAGATAGCATGGGATCGTTTTAAAAATTTCCTGAAAATCAGGGGATGACCGAAATGCTCTGAAACTTGGCAGGCTCAAATTCATAAATGTTGCCTAAAAGTGTGCCAAGTTTCATCCTGATAGCTGTAAAAATGACAGAGAAATGAGTCAGTAAATCAGAACCAAATAATTACGAAGCTTCTGAGATTCGGATTAATCAGAACGGGACCCCCCTGAATCTTTCTGAAATGAAGGGAGCCCATTCTGTTGGAAACTAAGTAAGTGAGGTTTATATATTCTCATTTATTTATTTATTCTCATTTATGTTGTTGTTGTTGTTGTTGTTGTTGTTGTTGTTATTTCTGGCAGTGACATCTCCATCCCATTCCCTGGTTGGATATCAGCCAGCAAGCCAATGCTTTAAATCAAGAAATAGCTTCTGAAGATCTACAGAGATACTCGCAGGAACACCTCAGTAAGCAGAGCCCAAAAGTGGCAGGCCAAAATCTGGAATCTCAAGCCATTGTTGGGATTCAGCTTCTGTGTGACCCTGTACCTGATTCTTTGATTGTATTTCCTGATGCCATTGTAGATGTCAATGTTGATTCTGAGGCCAATGTAGATGTTAATACTGATGATGGGTTGAATAGTGAAAATCCCACACCCTTGGAAAGTGAAAGTCAAAGTTCCCATGAGAACATTCATTCCGAACCGAGCGGAGATGTTTCACTCCCTTGCGGAGAAGTCTCACTCCTTTTTTCTCCCTTAGTTCCCCAGAGAATCTGACACCTGGTCAGCCTAATAAGGGAAGGAGGGGCAGATTCGGCAGAGCAGGGGAGAAGCACAAAGTTTACGGAGGTCAGAAAGATTGAGAGAAATGCAAACGAAAACTTCAGGCGTGTCTCYTAATAGATTTCTCCCCTTTAAGAGTGCCGGGTCTGAAGCTGCCTTCAGACCAGGCATCGTTCCAGTTCCAAGTGCAAGCCTGTGGAGGCCTCCTGATTCAAGTGGCTGGGTTTCTTGTAGTTTCTCAAGTTGTTCCAAGTGCCGTTAGCTGGGAGRTAGCAGATTTCATGATTCATCAAGGGTAACTCACCGTTTGCTGTGGTTTTTTATGGACTCGTTCATGGACATTGCTTGCTGCTGTTTTGCTATYGTTTTTATTTACCTCTGATTCTTCCTCTGCTTTGCATTCAACGTTCTTCAATAAAAAGGATTGTATTCCTGCAATCAAGTGTGGTGGATTGTTGTCAAGAGGGTCCAYTTTCCTGCTCTGGGTCGCAACAGCCATGGCCGATACCGAATGAGAAACTCCTCCCTGGACACACAGATGACTGGGCGACTTGGAAGGCGCTGAACAGACTGTGCTCTGACACCACGAGGTGAAGAGCCAACCTCCAGAAATGGGGCCACAAAGTGGAGTCCGTGACATGCGAGTGTGGAGAAGAGCAAACCACAGACCACCTCTTACAATGCAGTCTGAGCCCTGCCTCATGCACAATGGAGGACCTTCTTATAGCAACACCAGAGGCACTCCAAGTGTCCAGCTTCTGGTCAAAGGATATTTATTTATTTATTTATTTACTTACTTACTATATTTATATACCACTCTTCTCAGCCCTCGGGTGACCCAGAGTGGTTAACAATAGCAAAATTCAATGCTCAGAAACATCATAAAACAGTTAAAAACAATTAAAACAGTAGCATAATAAACAGTCAATATAAATCAATAAAACATCTCATTATTATCTCATAGTTAAAATCAAGATCCAGTCTCATCATCCAATTGTTCCATATTCCGATATTTGTTACACTGCCTATTCAAATGCCTGCTCGAACAACCAGGTCTTCACTTTCCTCCGAAATGTCAACAGGGAGGGGGTCGATCTAATATCTGTAGGAAGGGCGTTCCACAGCTGAGTGGCCACCACTGAGAAGGCCCTGTCTGTCGTTCCCGCCAAACGTACTTGTGACGTAGGCGGGACCGAGAGCAGGGCCTCCCCAGACGATCTTAGCACCCTAGCTGGTTCATAAGAGGAGATGTGTTCTGTGCTGGTACTGTTGTACCAGGAGCTCCAAATTTATTTGCTTTGTATTAAATGTTTGCTTGCAGTCCAAGGTTCCTGGGATTCTGCAGACAGGTGGCTTCCTTTGGTTGTCTATCATCGTTAAGTTTTGGTCCCGCCCCTTGCTCAGGGCAATTGGGAAGGGAACCATTTTTTTTAGTTAGTCTCAGCAAGGAAAGCCAATGTACAGGATGTGTGCAAGCTTCCCCTGTACAAAAGCTTCAACCCTTAAGAATTTCCGGGGGAGAACAGTTTTAAGAGTCTCCAAAGACTTTCCAGGGAAACAGCCTTAAAGACCAAAGAACTCCAGTTGGAAAACATCTAAGCCTTTACTGGTAGGTCCACTCGGCATTCGAGAAGCAGTTCGACCCGGTAGCGGAACCCACATCAGTCAGGGTTAGATTACAGTCAGCCTGGAAGAAGTTAAAAAGGGGACTTTCCTTTAAAGTAAAGAAGAAATTATTGAAGACAGTTGCCTGTCCTTCGTGGGCAAGTTTAGGAAGCTACCAATTGCATAAAAGCCTGGATTCATTTGTTTAACATTCTGAAGACAAGAGAAGTTTCTGTTTGATTGTTCATCAATAAAAGACTTCACAAGCCATCTAAAGACTATTTGTGGTGGAAAACCTCTGAGAACTTCTCCTTGGGCCCCCTGGCTTCCCGCTGGGCAAAGGTTGCACGTCCTATTCTAAAGGAAATTCTTTACAGGCCCAGCGCGCAACAGAACACGTTCGGACAGGTAAGTTGGGCCAGAACCGTTTAGGGCTTTGTAGGCTAAAGCCAGCACTTTGAATTGTGCCCGGTAGCAAACTGGCAGCCAGTGGAGTTGGCGCAACCGAGGAGTTGTATGCTCCCTGAGTGCCGCTCCCGTTAGTAACCTGGCTGCCGAACGTTGGACCATTTGAAGCTTCCAGACAGTCTTCAAAGGCAACCCCATGTAGAGAGCATTGCAGTAGTCTATACGGGAGTATACATTTAGCATAATTGCCAAGTTTTTAAAAACTCCGTGGCTTTTTAAAATACATTACAACTGCACCCTTGGTTCGCTTCTGATACGATAAATAAATAAATAAATGTCTGGAAAGGCAGAGCTGGAAGCTTAGCTGTAATTCCCTCGAGGTCATGCCGTCCCCTGCTTAACTGAGTTATTTGTGGCCGTTATCAGCGGCCAGCCAGCTTCCCAGGCATCAGTCACTGTCCAGATCAGCATGTGTCCCTCTCCAGGCCGCCCAGTTGTGGGAATTTCCTAACAACATTCCAGTGTTTGTAATGTGAGTGCGGAGGCAGGAAATTAACACCATCTGCAACCACTTCATCTGGGAAGTCATGTTGCGCTGCCCCGTGCAGCAACGCCATCACATCTGTGCATCACAGCACACTCGCAATCAGGCATCGGTCTATTTGTTTGCCTCTCTGGTATTGGGAGTGTTTTAAGCAGCATTGCCCAAACAAGAATCAAGGAACATGAAAGGCACTGCAGACTACTTCAGCCGGAGAAGTCAGCCATAGCAGAGCACCTGATGAACCAACCTGGACAAAGCATATGATTTGAGAACACAGAAATGCTGGACCACTCTCACAACCACCAGGTCAGACTACACAGAGAAGCCATTGAAATACACAAACATGTGGACAATTTCAACAGAAAGGAGGAAACCATGAAAATAAACAAGATCCGGCTACCAGTATTTAAAAAAAAAATCAAAAATTGCAACAGCAAAAACAGCCGAGAGGAAACAGGCAGGGACATCTAATTACTTTTCAAGAAGAGTTTGCTCCAGGCACAGTCAGCCCATTGTATGCTAATCAAGGTGGTCCACTGAAACATTCACACCTAGCCCAACTGACAAGAGTCCTTTGTCCCACCCTGGTCATTCCACAGATATATAAACCCTTTTCCCCCTTTCCAACAGACCTCACTACCTCTGAGGATGCTTGCCACAGATGCAGGCGAAACATCAGGAGAAATGCCTCTAGAACAGTGGTTCTCAACCTGGGGTCCCCAGATGTTTTTGGCCTTCAACTCCCAGAAATCTTAATAGCTGGTAAACTGGCTGGGATTTCTGGGAGTTGTAGGCCAAAAACCTCTGGGGACCCAAGGTTGAGAACCACTGCTCTAGAACATGGCCATATAGCCCGAAAAACCCCACAAGAACTTAGTGATTCCAGCCATGAAAGCCTTCGACAATACAGAAAATACTGTGTTTTCTGATGGTCTTTGGCGACTCCTCTGACACCCCTTTGCGACCCCCTCAGGGGTCCCGACCCCCAGGTTTATAAACACTGTGGTGGCACAAGGGTTCAACCCACTGCGTCAACCTGGGCTCCAGGTATTTGGACTGGATGGCCCACGAGGTCTCTTCCAACTCTAGGATTCTATATGAGGCAAAAGGCAAAATCTACCTGTGACACTCGTGCCAAGTCCAATCCTGGGGTCCATACTTGGGGCGGAAGTCGGCAGTCCCCGTGTTATGGATCATGGTAGAGAACCGCATGAGCCTCCGGGAGCCGTCTGTCACAGACGTGTTGACAGCAGAAGAAGACAAGCAGTTCTCCTCCTGGGCACATTGCAGCATGTACATTGGTCGCTCTTCGAGGTAGCAAGAGTGCTCCACTTCCTTGGGGTCGATGATAAGGTCTGCGGCAGCTGGAGGCAAGGAAACAAGACCATTATGGTGAGGAGTTCTTGGCCCCAAAGGACCACATTTCTGGTCCGCTATTCAGAAATGCCCTCTCTGTTCACAGTTTGAGGCCATGGCAAGGAAAGCTTACAACCTCAACCTGGTCCTGATTGAGTCCTGCCTGGAAAATGTCTTGCAACATAACCTGGGCAAAACAATAACCATCTGAAATTCATATTTTGTTCTACTATTTGGAGGGGTAAAAAAAAATCCAGGGTGTGTCTGTTTGTGACTTTCTATAAATCAGCTCCAAAATTAATAAAATGAAGTGTGCTCAGAAACAGCTCAAAGGAATACTATAACAAAACATATGTATGTATTGTCGAAGGCTTTCATGGCCGGAATCACTAGGTTGTAGGTTTTTTCAGGCTATATGGCCATGTTCTAGAGGCATTCTCTCCTGACATTTTGCCTGCATCTATGGCAAGCATCCTCAGAGGCAGTGAGGTCTGTTGGAACTAGGAAAATGGGTTTATATATCTGTGGAATAACCAAGGTGGGACAAAGAAGTCTTGTCTGTTGGAGCTAGGTGTGAATGTTTCAACTGACCACCTTCATTAGCATTTGATGGCCTGGCATTTGATGGCCAACCTTAGTCCACTTTGGGCACAAGAAGGCGCTGCTGCATCACTCTTGACCTTCCTGGGATTTGCCTGGGGGGAAAAAGAGGCTCATTTTGGCCTATAAAGCCTTAAACGGTTCCGGCCCAAGATACCTATCAGACCGCATCTCGACCTACGAGCCCACCAGGACTTTGAGATCTTCCGGGGAGGCCCTGCTCTCGATCCCGCCTGCCTCACAAGCACGGCTGGCGGGGACGAGAGATAGGGCCTTCTCGGTGGTGGCTCCTTGGCTGTGGAACACCCTTCCCGTGGACATTAGACTGGCCCCTTCCCTGATGATATTCTGCAGGAAATTAAAGACTTGGTTGTTCAAGAAGGCGGTCGAACAAGAAGTGCAATGATTGGTAATGACTATAGGAATGGAACAACGGAAAATGATATTGGATTGTGGTTGGGACGATGAGACGATGCTGAATGGTTTTTGTAGTAATGACAATGTTTTGTATAATGCTTTTTGTATAATGTTTTTGTATAATGGATTGTGAATTGTTTTTATACTATGTTTTGAATTTTGTTCTTCCTATGTTGTACACCACTGTGAGTCGCCCCCGGGCTGAGAGCAGCGGTATATAAGCAAAGTAAATAAATAAATAAATAAATAAATTTTCTATGTATTGTCGAAGGCTTTCATGGCCGGAATCACTGGGTTTTTGTAGGTTTTTTCAGACTATATGGCCATGTTCTAGAGGCATTCTCTCCTGACTTTTTTCCTGCATCTACGGCAAGCATCCTCAGAGGTTGTGAGGTCTTTTGGAACTAGGAAAATGGGTTTATATATCCGTGGGATGACCACAGTGGGACAAAGGACTCTTGTCTGTTGGAGCTAGGTGTGAATTTTTCAACTGACCACCTTGATTAGCATTTGATGGCCTGACAGTTTTTTGGTGTAGCTTGTTAGTGCCCGGGGGAATCATTCATTGAGAGGTGATTAGTTGTCCCTGGTTGTTTCCTCTCTGTTGTTTTGCTGTTGTAATTTTAGGCTACCAATATTTAAAATAAAACTCCAAAATTACAACAGCAAAACAACAGAGAGGAAACAATCAAGGAAAAACATGAATGAATTCCTATGCACACTGCACAGATCTTATTTGTAGTGCAAAAAACACTTAAAAACAGTACAATAATTGAAATGAAGAGCAATTTTAACAAATATAAACTTATTAGTATTTCAATGGGAAGTGTGGGCCTGCTTTTGCCTTTGATGAGATAGGATTGTTGTTGTTGTGGTGTGCTTTCAAGTCGTTTCAGACTTAAGTTGAACCTGAGCAAGGGCCGGGTAAATGACCTTGGAGGGCCGTATCCGGCCCATGAGCCTTAGTTTGATGACCCCTTGTGTAGATGCACACTGGCAAACCTTACTGCAGTTTGATACCACTTTAGTGATAATTTATTAATTTATTAATTTGCTATATTTGTATATTGCTCTTCTCGGCCCTCAGAGCGGTTAACAATAGCAAAATTCAATGCTCAAAAACATCATAAAACAGTTAAAAACAATTAAAACAGTAGCATAATAAACAGTCAATATAAATCAATAAAACATCTCATTAGCATCTCATAGTTAAAATCAAAATCCAGTCTCATCATCCAATTGTTCCATATTCCTATATTCATTGCACTGCCTATTCAAATGCCTGCTCGAACAACCAGGTCTTCACTTTCCTCCAAAATGTCAACAAGGAGGGGGCTGATCTCATATCTGTAGGAAGGGTGTTCCACAGCCGAGGGGCCACCACTGAGAAGGCCATGTCTCTCATCCCCGCCAGACGTACTTGGGACGCAGGTGGGATCGAGAGCAGGGCCTCCCCAGATGATCTTAACGTCCTAACTGGTTCATAGGAGGAGATGCGTTCGGACAGGTAAGTTGGGCCAGAACCATTTAGGGCTTTATAGGCTAAAGCCAGCACTTTGAATTGTGCCTGGTAGCAAACTGGCAGCCAGTGGAGCTGGCACGGCAGAGGAGTTGTATGCTCCCTCAGCGCTGCTCCTGTTAGTAACCTGGCTGCCGACCGTTGGACCATTTGAAGCTTCCGGACAGTCTTCAAAGGCAACTCCATGTAGAGAGCATTGCAGTAGTCTATACACACATTCTCAGCCCCAGATAACCCTGTGATAGGTTCTCCAAAGGGTCACCATAAGTTAGAAATGATTCAAAAATGCACCATAAAATGAGGGGTATTTTTAAAGTAAGGTCCGTTTTGTTGTAGACACTAGTAGTTCGCGCGCATACCGCAACGAGTGCGTGCGTCGTGTACCGGCATGCCTCGGGAACAACTGTGCTCAGTTTCCTCTCTGTGGCTAACCTGTACGGTTCTGTTCTGTGCTTTAAAAATGTTTAAGACTATCAACTCACTCTCCACATGTGAGGTTCGCTCAGTGATAAGGATTTTGTCAGCAAGGAACCTGCCTGCTGCAGAAATCCATCGACAGTTTTGTGAAGTGTACGGTGAGACTGTTATGAGTGAAAGCAAAGTGCGTAAGTGGGTACGACAATTCAAAGATGGCCGTGACAACGTCCATGATGAGGACCGCTCCGGTCGCCCTTCTTTGATTACAGACGATTTGGTGGCTTCAGTTGAAGCGAGGATTCGTGAAGAGGGTATTTTAAAATTGGTTCAGAGGTATGATAACTGTTTGAACAAACTTGGCAACTATGTCGAAAAATAGAGTTAAATATGTACTTTCTGAAAATAAATTTACTTTTTTGAAATAAACTTTCGTTGTGTACTTATGTTCAAACGGACCTTACTTAAAAAATGCCCCTCATAATACCGTGGAAGGGAAAAGGAAGCCTGAGAGAAGAAACGGGAAAGTGCAATGTTTGGGGACATCTTCTAGATTTCTTGCACAGCAACTCCAATAACTTACCCTCTGCGCAGGAAACCCCTGCGGCATATCTTCCACTTCCCTTGGGGCAGTTCACATGCGAATCGTGGCGGCAGTGCCAAAGGGACACCTCTGTGTCAGAACATTTCACCCCACTCAGCAGAACCTCATTGACGCCGTTGTCTATGTACCAGTATCCGGTGTCCTGGCAGGAATCAGAGAACGAGCAGAGAAACTGAGTGGAACTACTTCATTAGTGTGGTTTTTAAAAGCAGAATGAAAGTAAAGCAGCATTTGTTCATAGAATCATAGAATCAAAGAGTTGGAAGAGACCTCATGGGCCATCCAGTCCAACCCCATTCTGCCAAGATGCAGGAATATTGCATTCAAATCACCCCTGACAAATGGCCATCCAGCCTCTGCTTAAAAGCTTCCAAAGAAGGAGCCTCCACCACACTCCGGGGCAGAGAGTTCCACTGCTGAACGGCTCTCACAGTCAGGAAGTTCTTCCTAATGTTCAGATGGAATCTCCTCTCTTGTAGTTTGAAGCCATTGTTCCGCGTCCTAGTCTCCAAGGAAGCAGAAAACAAGCTTGCTCCCTCCTCCCTGTGGCTTCCTCTCACATATTTATACATGGCTATCATATCTCCTCTCAGCCTTCTCTTCTTCAGGCTAAACATGCCCAGTTCCCTAAGCCGCTCCTCATAGGGCTTGTTCTCCAGACCCTTGATCATTTTAGTCGCCCTCCTCTGGACACATTCCAGCTTGTCAATATCTCTCTTGAATTGTGGTGCCCAGAATAGTATTGTAGCAATGAATATGGAAAATAAGGTTGGGGCAGGAACATATTCCTGTTTGACACCTGATTCCACCTGAAATGGGTCACTTTTGGAGCCATTGCTGCTCAAGACTGTTGCCATCATGTCATCATGGAGGAGCTGCAGGATATTCACAAATTTTTCAGGACATCCAATTTGTTTTGGAGGAGTATAAAATAACACACAAGCTGGGCAACGGATTAGTATTCACTATTTTTGGGTGTTCCTTATAACCTTGGATCCTATACAAGGAAATTCCCTCCCAAAGGGAGAATGCACTGTATGTACCGTTGCCTCTGTTGCAACACACTATGTACTTCTTTACGAACACACCTGCGCACACACATGCACACATGCACAGAGGTCAAGCCCTGCTCCACACACAGGCTGCTTGTATATTCCAGTCCAGGGTGTAGCCTGGAGAGAACACAGGGGCTTTTTCTTTTTCCAAATATCAATAGCCCCAGCCAGAGGGAAATGCCCCACATCAAACAGCGCCAACCCCGCTTATGTCAACACAGCTGAGAGATGGGAAAGGATGCTGTTCAAGGGGATGCAGTTGCCCTCAACTCTTGAACCAGAAGTTGGCAACCGTGCAGGAAAATCAAAACCAATCTCAAAAGTGGCAGCCTTCCAGCTCTGCGCTCCGAGATGAAGGCTGCCACTTCTTCTGGCGTGGACAATTGAGGTGTGTGTTCTACCACCGTATTTCCTGGGGAAAACGTCCCGAGGAAATGTCTGCATCAACGGGTGGAGTCACTGGCCAGCCATCCACCGCTTTTAGAAACTGAAGAAGAACAGAACAGCAAGTTCCTCCTCAAAGAAGGACACCCTTCCCTGACTGCAGACAGACAGATTGTAGAAGAGGGATAGATAGACAAACAGATATGATAGATCAGCCTTTCTCAACCTAGGGTTTGGGACTCCCACAAGGCAGTGGCAGAGGGGTCGCCAAAGACCACCAGACAACACTGTATTTTCCGTTTGTCATGGGGTTTCTATGTGAGAAGTTTGGCCCAATTCTACATTGGTAGGGTTCAGAATGCCAACCAAACCCTTCCAGTATTTCCTCTTGGTCCTGGGAGTTATGTGTGCCAAGTTTGGTTCAATTCCATCATTGGCAGGGTTCAGAATGCTCTTTGATTATAAGTGAACTATAAATCCCAGCAACTACAACTCCCACATGTCAAGGTCTGTTTGCCCCAAACTCCACCGGTGTTGAGTTATCATGCCAAGTTTGGTCCAGATCCATCATTGTTTGAGCCCACAGTGCTCCCTGGATGTAAATGAACTATGACTCCAAAACTCAAGGTCAATGCCCGCCAAACCCTTCCAGTATTTATCTATTGGTCATGGGAGTTCTGTGTGCCAAGTATGCTTCAATTCCATCATTGGTGGAGTTCAGAATGCTCTTTGACTGTAGGCGAACTATAAATCTCAGCAACTACAACTCCCAAATGTCAAGATCTATTTTCCCCAAAACCTACCATTGTTTACATTTTAACATATTAAGTGTTTGTGCCAAGTTTGGTCCAGATCCATTATAGTTTGAGTCCACAGTGCTCTCTGGATGTAGGTGAACTACAACTCCAAAATTCAAGGTCAATGCCCACCAAACCCTTCCAGTATTATATATTGGTCATGGGAGTTCTGTATACCAAGTTTGGTTCAATTTGATTGATGATGTTCAGAACGCTCTTTGATTGTAGATGAACTATAAATCCCAGCAACTACAAAATGACCAGTGTTTACATTTTGACATATTGAGTGTTTGTGCCAAGTTTGCTCCAGATCCATTATAGTTTGAGTCCACAGTGCTCTCTGAATGTAGGTGAACTACGACTCCAAAACTCAAGGTCAATGCCCACCAAACCCTTCTGGTATTTTCTATTGGTCATGGGAGTTCTGTGTGCCAAGTTTGGTGGAGTCCATGACATGCGAGCATGGAGAAGAGCAAACCACAGACCACCCACTGCAATGCCACATGCACAAGGGAGGACCTTCTTGGGCAGTCCAAGTGGTCAGCTACTGGTCAAAGGACATTTAATAGAATACCAAGTCTGCAAACTTTATGTTTTGTTTGTTTGTTTGTTTGTTTTTTAATGCAATACAACTGTTTTTGTTCACTCCTGACACAATAAATAATAGTAGCAACTTTCTTTGGAAGTGGTTCCAAATCAACTGAAGGAAATCGGTCATCGTTTCTTTTAGCCACAGGAAAAACCAAGAGGAAATGCCATTGTACCTGGAAAGCTTGGCCAGCATAGCCCAGGCCCAGCTGTCGACAAACCACCATGGCTTCCAGGATGCCCCAGTTCTCACTGCAGACTGTCCCCCATTTCTGTGTGCCGTTGTAATGCCGGGAGATTTGCACTTGGCCTTCAGTAGGTGTCCGACCGCCAACCAAACGAATCTGCAGATCAAAAGGAAGAAAGACCAAAAGTTACACTACAGCCAACTTGCTACGCTCATTCCACGAAAGTAGGGGGAGGAAAGATGATTTTTTTGGCTGCAACAGGAGGGAACTGAAACTACGCCACACAACTGGTCATACAATGGGAAGACCCTAACAGTGCAATTGCATTTCAAATGAGTTGAATCTCTTTCCGTCAACCTTCTTCATGCTCCAACTTTCACAACCATAGTGGAACATGGATTGTGAATACAGTGTTCCCCCACTTATCGTGGGGGTTCCGTTCCAGGACCACCGGCGATAAGTGAAAATCGGCCAAGTAGGGACGCCATATTAATTTTAATTTTTATACATTACTTTATATATTATATATATACTAGCTGTCCCCTGCCACGCGTTGCTGTGGCCCAGTCTGGTGATCTGGAAAATAAAGTAATGAGAAAGTGTTGGTTTCTAATATATGTAATTCCTTTATGCTTGTGAGTAAACAGTATTTCTTGTTGTTTCTTTGTCAGTGTTGATTTGGAGAGTGTCTGGTTTGCCTACTCTGGAATATGCAACATATCATAGTCCTTCTTTAAGGGTCTCTTTCAAATCTGTGATACTATATCTGTGTGTGAGAGAGAGAACCATATCTATCTATATTTATGACTGGATGGCTCTTTGTCAGGAGGGCTCTGATTACATTTTCTTGCCCTGGTGAAGAGAGTTGGACTGGATGGCCTTAAGTATTTTCTGTTGGTCATGGGGGTTCTGTGTGGGAAGTTTGCCCCATTTCTGTCATTTGTGGGTTTCAGAATGGTCTTTAATTGTAGTGAACTATAAATCCCAGTAACTACAAATCCCAAATGTCAAGGTCTATTTCCTCCAAACTCCATCTGTGTTCATATTTAGGCATATGGAATTTTTGTGTCAAGTTTGGTCCAGATCCATCATTGTTTGAGTCCACAGTGCTCTCTGGATGTAGGTGAACTACAACTCCCAAACTCAAGGTCAATGCCACCAAACCCTTCCAGTGTGTTCTGTTGGTCATGGAAGTCCTGTATGCCATGTTTGGTTCAATTCCATCATTGGTGGAGTTCAGAATGCTCTTTGATTGTAGGTGAACTATAAATCCCAGCAACTACAACTCCCAAATCTCAAGGTCTATTTCCCTTAAACTCCATCTGTGTTCATATTTGGGCATATGGAATATTCGTGCCAAGTTTGGTCCAGATCCGTCATTGTTTGAGTCCACAGTGCTCTCTGGATATAGGTGAACTACAACTCCCAAACTCAAGGTCAATGCCCACCAAACCCTTCCAGTTTTTTCTGTTGGTCATGGGAGTCTGTGTGCCAAGTTTGGTTCAATTCTATCATTGGTGGTGTTCAGAATGCTCTTTGATTGTAGGTGAACTATAAATCCCAGCAACTACAACTCCCAAATATCAAGGTCTATTTCCCCCAAACTCCATCTGTGTTCATATTTGGGCATATGGAGTTTCGTGCCAAGTTTGGTCCAGATCCATCATTGTTTGAGTCCACAGTGCTCTCTGGATGTGGGTGAACTACAATTCCCAAACTCAAGGTCAATGCCCACCAAACCCTTTCAATTTTTTTCTGTTGGTCATGGGAGCCCTGTGTGCTAAGTTTGGCCCAATTCCATCATTGGTGGTGTTCAGAATGCTCCTTGATTGTAGGTAAAGTATACATCCCAGCAACGACAATTCCCAAATGACAAAATCAATTTTGTTTTGAGTGGAGGACATACATTGGGTTGTTAGGTGTCTTGTGTCCAAATTTGGTGTCAATTCCCCCAGTGGTTTTTGAGTTCTGATGGTATCACAAATGAACATTACATTTTTATTTATATAGACTAGCTTGGGGACCCAGCACTGCCCGGATTATTAGAGAAAGTGGGTAATGGCGGTTCTGTATGCCAAGTTTGGTCTTTATTGGTCATTGGATGACAGTTGCATTGTTTTCAGGAAGGGAGTGAAGGTACTTGAAGTCCCATCATCCATGGTCCACCCTCCTCCAAAATGCAGCAGGATATAGAGTCGGTCATGGGGGCTCTGTGTGCCAAGTTTGGTCTTGATCAGTCATTGGATGAGGGTCGCAGTGGTTTCAGTAATTGAGTGAAGGTACTGCAAGTCCCATTTGCACATTGGAAATATTCCCTAAATGCTGTACCAGCACATGCAAAAGCCTTGGTAGCACCACCAGAAGATCATAATTCTAGTCAGACTGTTCAAATAGTTCCTGTAATGCTGCTGACACCCAAAGGTCATGTGAATCAGACTTCGGGCTCCTTATACCATGGATTTCTGAATATATGTTGGGCTGGGTTGTCGGTTTTTTCGGGCTATATGGTCATGTTCTAGAGGCATTCTCTCCTGACGTTTCGCCTGCATCTATGGCAAGCATCCTCAGAGGTTGTCAGGTTTTACAATGTATTGTAATGTAATATAGCTGAGTCATGCACAGAGGTGGCCCTAGGTAATTTTCAACGGTAAGCAAACAGTATTTTGGCGCCCCCTCAACCAATCATTGATATATATTTTCTGTTCGTGGGAGTTCTGTGTGCCATATTTGGTTCAGTTCCATCATTGGTGGAGTTCAGAATGCTCTTTGATTGTAGGTGAACTATACATCCCAGTAACTACACTTGCCGCACTTGCTCCCTTGCCTGGCCCGCTTTGGGTCCAGAGGCGTGCCTGAAGACCCCAGCGTGTGCACCAAAAGTCGCCTCTTCTCCTGACTTTCTCCTCAGCCATTGGGACCAAGAGAGAGAGAGAGAGAGAGAGAGAGAGGTGGAGATGCCCACCTTTCCTGAAGGTAGGCGCAAAAACAAAGGAGGGAGCGGAGGTGGGAGATACCTCCAGCCGGAGGGGCTCTCTCTCTCTCTCTTGGTCCCAATGGCTGAAGAGAAAGTCAGGAGAAGAGGCGACTTTTGGTGCGCACGCTGGGGTCTTCAGACACGCCTCCGGACCCAAAGCAGGCCAGGCGCGGCGGCTCCGCCCCTTGGCCCACCCGCAGATTGGGGAGAGGAGAGGAGAGGAGGCGGGAGGAGCACCGGGGGATCGGGAAAGGGAGCCGGTCATGGGGAAGGGATCGAATGCGGAGAACGATTGAGCGCCGGCTCTGCTCGCGCACCCGGTGGCCGGGTGGAGCAGGAACGAGAGGGGCTAGGCGAGGCTCAAGGGCCCGGCCCCTTTGGGAAGAGGATCACCCGGCAGCGAGGCAAGAAAGCCGAGGCTCCCCCCGGACTGCTAGGGCTGTTGTGAGCTGAGGGGGCGCTCCTCAAGTGGCAGTCGAGGGGCATTTACAGAGGCGCCTCTGCGCCCCTGGCAAAAAAAAAAGTGTTCTGTGACCACTTACTTCGCGTAATGGACGAGCCGCCCCTGGTCATGCACTGCTAATGGGCTTCTATTTGAAATGCTGAGTCATGCATTAACTGTATATAGAACTTCATTTGGGGAATGCGTTCTGGCCTAGTCCAGGTGATTGGAAATGATGTAATCCTGGGTCTGAGTTAAGTCAATGAGTTGGGAACCAATCAGAGATTGCTATGTGTAATTGTATAGAATTGTATATAAGGAAGTCATGTACAGTGTATATTTCTCCTTGTGCTGTGATGTTGTTCGTCGAAGGCTATATGTAATTAAAAGAACCTGTCTGCTAAGACAAGATATAACTGTGTGCTGTGGTAAGTTTGTAATATCATCTAGACTGGGGGAAGGACAATGGTAAAACTGACAATGGCCGGGCATGTGTTCAAGTGTCTGTAAAAGGTTCCAGAGTGACTGCAGGCTGTGGGAGCAGTTGACTGAAAATATTGTGCAGGAAGAAGCTACTGGAAAGCACTGAAGTTGTGCAACTGATCTGCTGCTGAATTGTGAAGTTAATCTCAACAGTAACAGAAAAGGTTTATATATCTGTGGAATGACCAGGGTGGGACAAAGGACTCTTGTCTGCTGGAGCTAGGTGTGAATGTTTCAACTGACCACCTTGATTAGCATTTGATTGCCTGGAGTGCCTGGGGCAATCTTTTGTTGAGAGGTGATTAGATGTCCTTGTTTGTTTCCTCTCTGTTGTTGTGCTGTTGTAATTTTAGAGTTTTTTAATACTGGTAGCCAGATTTTGTTCATTTTCATGGTTTCCTCCTTTCTGTTGAAATTGTACACATGCTTGTGGATTTCAATGGCTTCTCTGTGTAGTCTGACATGGTGGTTGTGAGAGTGGTCCAGCATTTCTGTGTTCTCAAATAATATGTTGTGTCCAGGTTCGTTCCTCAGGTGCTCTGCTATGGCTGACTTCTCTGGTTGAAGTAGTCTGCAGTGCCTTTCATGTTCCTTTATTGCGTTTGGTGGTCCCTATGTAGACTTGTCCACAGCTGCATGGTATACGGTAGACTCCTGCAGAGGTGAGAGGATCCCTCTTGTCCTTAGCTGAACGTAGCATTTGTTGGATTTTCTTGGTGGGTTTGTAGATTGTTTGTATGTTGTGTTTCCTCATCAGCTTCCCTATGCGGTCAGTGGTTCCCTTGATGTATGGCAGGAACACTTTTCCTCTGGGTGGATCTTGGTCTTGACTCTCGTGGCTTGTTCTTGGTCTTGCAGCTCTTCTGATGTCTGGGCTGTTCAAGTGCAAAAGGGAAGAGCTTTTCCTGAGGTCGGTTTTCAAATGCTGGCTCAGAATCTCCTTTGGCAGGCCATCCACGCAACTTGTGAGATTTGTATCCCAGTTGCTTGGCCCAGCTCCATTTGTTCCATTCAGTTAAACATCTGTGTTCCTTTCGACCCAAACAGCATAACGTCCTTTCGGCAGCATCCGAGCGATGCTTCAAGCTCTGGACTTTGGGATTTCTGCTGAGCTTTTCAATAACAAGGGCATTCAAATTCACATGTTCTTATTTACATGCACATGTCATTTCTCAATTGGACTATAAAACATTACACATCTGTTTGTTGTTGTTCATTCGTTCAGTCGTCTCCGACTCTTCGTGAACTCATGGACCAGTCCACACCAGAGCTCCCTGTCGGCCGTCACCACCCCAGCTCCTTCAAGGTCAGTCCAGTCACTTCAAGGATGCTATCCATCCATCTTGCCCTTGGTCGCCCCCTCTTCCTTTTGCACTTTCCCCAGCATTATTGTCTTCTCTAGGCTTTCCTGTCTCCTCATGATGTGGCCAAAGTACTTCAACTTTGTCTCTAGTATCTTTCCCTCCAGTGAGCAGTCGGGCTTTCTTTCCTGGAGGATGGACTGGTTGGATCTTCTCGCAGTCCAAGGCACTCTCAGCACTTTCCTCCAACACCACAGCTCAAAAGCATCTCTCTTCCTTCGCTCGGCCTTCCCTAAGGTCCAGCTCTCACATCTGTAGGTGACTACAGGGAAGACCATGGCTTTGACTAGGAAGATCTTTGTTGCCAGTGTGATGTCTCTACTCTTTACTATTTTATCGGGATTACACACACACACACACACACACATATATATATAAGGCTTGGTTGATCCAGTTCGTTAATTTCTTATCTCGTTATTAATTCGTTAAATAATTACCTTTAGAAGCGATATCGACGTGTTTTGGCAACCCGGAAGTGTTTCTGCCATATCGAAGCCGCGTCCGCCATCTTCCTTACAACTTCTGCCAGTGAATCGTAAATGCTGGGGGCGTGGCCTTCAGGAACAGCTGTTCTTACCCACACCCACCTCCTTCCTCTTTGCATCGGCGGCTTTGCGAGGTGGGCGTGACTACCTCCCTGGCGACAAGCGGCGATGTGGAAGAGCTGGGTATAGTCATGCCCACCTCGCAAAGCCGCCGATGCAAAGAGGAAGGAGGTGGGCGTGGCCAAGCACAGCGCTCCTCGCTCGGGGCGAGGCCTCCGAAGAGCGCTGTGCTTGGCCACGCCCACCTCTCCCTTGGACAGCTTGCCAGGGAAGAGAAAGAAAGGTGAGAGATTTTAAAAGTGTTAGTTGTAAAATCTCCAAGGAGCGCTGTGCTTGGTCGCTGGGGGCGAGGCCTCCAAGGAGGGCTGTGCTTGGCCACGCCCACCTCTCCCTTCTGCATGGAAGCTCGCCGCAAGGGAAGGAAGGGAAACTGCGAGATTTTAAGGAAACAAAGGAAACGATTCGTATTTCCTGGTATTTCTGATCTTTTTTTTAAAGAAAATTTTGGAAATAATTTAAAAATCGAACCTCCAGCGCCCCCTACATACGAAACGAGTTTAGAACCATTTTTTTCTTGATCAACCAAGCCATATATATTAGGCTTGATTGATCAAGAAAAAATTGGGTTCTAAACTCGCTTCGTTTCTAGGGGGCGCCAGCAGGGCCGTAGCCAGAAAAAATTTTCGGGGAGGGTTGACAATTTCGGGGGGGGGGTTGAAAATTTCGGGGAGGGTTGAAAATTGGGGGGGGGGGGGTTGAAACCTGCCTCCTAGCTCATGCTGAAGCAAAGAGCACAGCAGGGGGCAGAGCAACCTTCAATAGCCTGCAGCTCCACCCCTGTCAACCACCTCCACCAAGTCTGGCCTCCTTAATGAGAGCATTCAACACACACACACCCAATTTGGTTGCTTCACTACATCGGCTATTGCTGCAAGTAATGACAGTGTGAATAAATTGTCAATATTTGCTTGAGATAGTGCTTGCAGTTCTGGAGGGACTCTTAATTTTTTGCATCTCATAGACTTAGCATGGGGATTTGGTTAACCAGTTAAAATTCATGAGTTAACCAGGTTTTTTAAAAAAAATCTGAAACATTTCGGGGGGGGTGAACCCCTAAAACCACCCCCTCGCTACGGCCTGGGCGCCAGCATTTTGAATTTCAGAGGCCTTCCGAAATTTATGATTTTAAAATGTCGAAATTTCCGAAATTTTGTTAATTACGAAAGAAGGTGCCCTTCCCTCTCTCCAGAACCATTAAAATCTCGCAGTTTCCCTTCCATCCCTTGCGGCAGAAGGGAGAGGTGGGCGTGGCCAAGCACAGAGCTTCTCGGAGGCCTCGCCCCCAGCCACCTCCAAGCAAGGAGCCCTGTGCTTGGCCACTCCCAGCTCTCCCTTGGACAGCTGGCCAGGGAGGAGAAGAAAGGTGATGGATTTTAAAAGTGTTGGTTTTTAAATCCGTCACCTTTCTTCTCCTCCCTGGCCAGCTGTCCAAGGGAGAGGTGGGCGTGGCCAAGCACAGGGCTCCTCCCAGGCCTGTTCCTAAAAGCCACGCCCCCAGCATTTACGATTCACTGGTGGACGTCGTAAGGAAGATGGGGGCGTGGCTTCGTTATTGCAAAAACACTTCCGGGTTCCCAGAAAGCCTCAAAATCGCTTCTAATTATAAAAAAATAACGAATAAAAAACGAATAACGAAAATAACGATCTGGATCAACCAAGTCTAATATATGTTGTTGTTCATTCGTTCAGTCGTCTCCGACTCTTCGTGACCTCATGGACCAGCCCACGCCAGAGCTCCCTGTCAGCCGTCACTACCCCCAGCTCCTTCAAGGTCAGTCCAGTCACTTCAAGGATGCCATCCATCCATCTTGCCCTTGGTCGGCCCCTCTTCCTTTTCCTTCCATTTTCCCCAGCATCATTGTCTTCTCTAGGCTTTCCTTTCTTCTCATGATGTGGCCAAAGTACTTCATCTTTGCCTCTACTATTCTTCCCTCCAATGAGCAGTCGGGCTTTATTTCCTGAAGGATGGACTGGTTGGATCTTCTCGCAGTCCAAGGCACTCTCAGGACTTTCCTCCAACACCACAGTTCAAAAGCATCTATCTTCCTTCGCTCAGCCTTCCCTAAGGTCCAGCTCTCACATCCGTAGGTTACTACAGGGAAGACCATGGCTTTGACTAATATATATATATATATATATATATATATATATATATTGTTCGTTTGTGGGATTAACATACCTCAAAAACCACTGGGGGAATTGACACCAAATTTGGACAACATACACGTAACAACCCACAGCAGAAGGGACTTAGAACACAGCAGAAGCGACTTAGAAAGCCCCAAAAAGCTAAAAGCCCCAAAAAGCTAAATGACAATACAGAAAAAAGGAAGAAAGAGGGAGGGAAGGGGAGAAGAAAAAGAAAGAAAAGAAAGAGGGAGGGAAAGAAAGAAGGAAAGGGAGAAGGAAGGAAAGAGGTAGAGAAGGAAGAAAGGAGAGAAAGAGGGAGGGAAAGAAAAAGGGGGAAGGAAGGAAAGTTAGAGAAGGAAGGAGAGAAGGAAAGAAAAAGGGAAAGAAGGAAGGAAAGAGGGAGCGAAGGAAGAGGGGAAGATGTAGAGAAAGAGGGAGGGAAGGAAGAAGAGAAAGAAGAGAAGGAAGGAAAGAGGAAGAGAAGGAAGGAAAGAGATAGAGAAGGAAGAAAGAGAGAGAAGAGGGACGGAAAGAAAAAGGGGGAAGGAAGGAAAGTTAGAGAAGGAAGGAAGGAGAGAAGGAAAGAAAAAAGGAAAAGAAGGAAGGAAAGAGGGAGCGAAGGAAGAGGGGAAGATGTAGAGAAAGAGGGCGGGAAGGAAAGAAGGAAAGAGAGAAGGAAGGAAAGAGAGACAGCAGAAGATGAAGGAAAGAGATAGAGAAGGAAGGAAGAAGAGAAGGAAAGATGGGAAGGAAGGAAGAATTCAAATTAATGAAGCCCCTGCACTGCCTATAGCAATAGCTTTCAGAGAGAAGGTACAAATACTTTTAGCAAAAAAGGATATACTTGGAAATGTTATCTTTCTAGACCACAACTTTTTGAGTCCCTTCACACTTTGATTTAAAAAAGTGATATCCCATCAATGTCCCCTGACATTAAATCAAGTCCAGTCGTGTCCGATTCTGGGGGGTTGGTGCTCATCTTCGGCATTGTCCATAGGCACCTCCAAGGTCATGTGGCCAGCATGACTGCATGGAGTGATGTTACCTTCCCACCGGAGCGGTACCTATTGATCTACTCACCAATCCACAAAAACAATACCAACTCACCTGGTTTTGGTAACCCATATCTGGGACATTGCACTTCACACCTGCATCTTGTTGGTGGGTACAACTCAGTGTCTGGGTGTTGAATTTACAGTCAGTGATGGACTTTTCCGATCCTATACAATCCACCTCTCCAAAATGAATGGGACCCAAACCTTTCAGGAGAAAGAGAAATAGATCCGTTTAAAAATACACAATCTTATTCACAAAGAGTACGATGAGGCATTTCGTATATTGGATTTATCGCATTTCATAACTTTGGAGCCATCAAGCCACAATTCGACTGTCTTTACATCGTTGTTGCATCCCAGACCAAGAAACGAGACCATAAGATTAAATCCACCACACTGGACTGTAGGAAAAACAATCCTTTTTTACTGATGAAAAATTGGTTACAAAAGAAAGGTAAATGCAAAGTCAAAAGGCCACAATAGAAACACAGCTGTCAGGAAAATCTGTGAACTTGAGCAAAAGTCCAAAAAACAAACAAAACACAAGACAAGAACCAGGAACCTGTTAGCCTCTCGCTAACCATGTACTTGAAAAACTAGAAGCCTCTGGGATTACCGGCCATGAAACACAGGAATTCTGCCAAGGCACAGCCACAGTCCCAAATGTTGCTTGATCTAAGGAGGCACCCGGCAGGCAGCCCCTTAACCCAAAGAAACTATTCCTTGAAACACCCCTTGACTTTGAAGCCTGAGCCTGTCTCTCCTGTAATCTATTTGACCTTCGTAGGAACTGTGAATCACTCCTGTCTCTCGTTATCTGTTCCCTTCGATCCTCATTAAAAAACCCAGGTGGAGAGCTATCACGGCTGGATTCCAAAACATTTTCATCCGGCTGTTCAGTTTCGTTTTCCCCGCCGCTGAACTCAGCATCAACACCAGTTTCCACATTGTCAGGGAAAACTACATGTTCAGTGGCTTGCTCAGTTGGAAATACTATCAGAGAATCAGGTTCACACATATCAACAATCGTATTGTCGAAGGCTTTCATGGCTGGAATCACTGGGTTGTTGTAGGTTTTTCGGGCTATATGGCCATGCTCTAGAACAGTGTTCTAGAACAGTGTTTCTCAACCTTCCTAATGCCGCGACCCCTTAATCCAGTTCCTCATATTGTGGTGACCCACAACCATAACATTATTTTCATTTCTACTTCATAATTGTAATTTTGCTACTGTTATGAATGTAATGTAAATATCCGACATGCAGAGTGTATTTTCATTCACTGGACCAAATTGGGTACAAATACCCGATATGTGGGGTTGGGGGGATTGATTTTGTCACTTGGGAGTTGTAGTTTCTGTGATTTATAGTTCACCTACAATCAAAGAGCATTCTGAACTCCATCAACGATGGAATTGAACCAACCTTGGCACACATGACCTATAGAAAATACTGGAACGGTTTGGTGGGTATTGACCTTGAGTTTGGGAGATATAGTTCACCAACCTCCAGAGAGCACTGTGGGCTCAAACAATGATGGATCTGGACAAAATATTGGCACAAATACTCAATATGCCCAAATGTGAACAGTGGTGGAGTTTGGGGGAAATAGAGCTTGACATTTGGCAGTTGTAGTTGCTGGGATTTATAGTTCACCTATAATCACAGAGCATTCTGAACCCCACCAACCAAGCTTTCCATGCTGAACCCCCACAATCAACAGAAAAATACTGTGTTTTCTGATGGTCTTTGGTGAGCCCTCTGACACCCCTCGCAACCCCCCCAGGGGTCCCGACCCCAGGTTGAGAAACATTGCTCTAGAAGCATTCTCTCCTGACATTTCGCCTGCATCTATGGTAAGCATCCTCAGAGGTTGTGAGGTCTTTACATCCTTCCAAATTAGGGAGATTTGGGTAAGCAGCTAAAGACCTTTTTCCCTAACCTGAAGACAGCATATTATTTGAGAACACAGACATGCTGGACCACTCTCACAACCATCATGTCAGACTACACAGAGAAGCCATGATTTGAAAGCAATATTCCTGCTTCTTGGCAGAATGGGGTTGGACTGGATGTCCCATGAGGTCTCTTCCAACTCTTTGATTCTATGATTCTATGATTTTCAAACTTCTAAAGACTTTGTATAGGAAAATCCTTAGAGCCTGTCAGCTGAGGCACCCCGGCTTCCTGCTGGGCACAAAGAGCATGTCCTGTTCAAAAGCCAATTGCTATAGGCCCAGCGCATGACAGCACAACCACAATGACAGACTACACAAATAAGCCATTGAAATCCACAAGAAGCATGTGGACAATCTCAACAGAAAGGAGGAAACCATGAGAATGAACAAAATCTGGGTACTAATTTTTAAAAACTCTAACATCAGAACAGTAAATAAAGAGCAAGTCTCAAAAAGCAGGGGAATTCTGGATAAGAATCAATCAGGGCCAGCTAACACCTCCAACAAAGGATTCCCCCAGGCAGTACGAAGCCAGACTTTGAAACTGCTAGTCCATTAAATGCTAATCAAGTGTTTACTTATCTTGTCAGAAGCAAATTGAGAATAATAATAATAATAATAATAATAATAATAATAATAATAACTTTATTTATATACCGCTCCATCTCCCCGAGGGGACTCAGAGCAGTTCCCAAGTAACATCACAAAACATACAGAGTAAAAACAACATAACCATAAATTAACAAAATAAAATATGCATTAAAAATTCCCTTCTGTTATGGCTGAGCTAGTTTCTGACGATGAGGATGATGGGATTCAGATTCCTGTTGGGTTTCAGCTTCCTGGCTCTTTGTCTGTGCCTCAAATCTCTGAGCCTGCTTCTGAGGCTCCCACAGACAGTGCAGTGTCAACACAGCCGTTTTCACCAGAAAGGAATTTTAACGAAGGAGATAGCGAGCAGGTGCCTTCCCACGCTGATACTGAAAGTGTAGATAATTATTTGATCCACTGCAAGCTCACCTTGATCTCCGGGTCAGGCGGAGTTCGCGTCTGGCAAGCAGACGGGAGGCTAGCTCGGTGAAAGGTCGTCGCAATGCTTTTATGATGCTGAGAGCCTAATGTTTTGATGTTAGAAAGGTATTTAGGCCTTCTGGAAACTCTGTGAAAGTGTCAGTTCAACGTAGCTTAGTAGCCTGAAAGTTTCATGGAATAACCTTAGCCTGGAAAGCAGTACTTGGGATTTCTTGCATTGTGATTCATGGGGCAATTGTTTCATTGCTTGTACCTGGGACTCTGGTTTGAACTTTGCCAATAGGATTATGTCTCCTGTTTTTACCTGAAGATCTTTGGAACTATATTCTGCTTTTAACCTTAATCCTTGGAATTTTGCAATGCTTACTCTTTATTTTGACTTGGATTTTTCCTCAATAAACTATAAAACTACAGCTCTTATGTGGTGGTGTTTGGCAGCAAGGTGAAGCATACTCTGAGTTGCAACACCCGCCCTGCTTACTGTATTGTATATGTGTGTAGCAGTATGCAAATTTCCTTAACTCTATGTTGTGGGAGGGGATGCAGACCATGTGATCAGAACTGGGACTATTCAGGACTCAGACTCCATTTTAGAAAGGCAGAAGCCATTAGACTTTCAATGTAGAGACTTCAATAGAAACAGAATGCTTTAGGAAGACAGAGACTCTATATAAATAAAAATGTAATGTTCGTTTGTGGGATTAACAGAACTCAAAAACCACTGGATGAATTGACACCAAATTTGGACACAAGACACCTAACAACCCAATGTATGTCCTTCACTCAAAAAATATTCATTATGTCATTTGGGAGTCGTAGTTGCTGGGATTTATAGTTCACCTACAATCACAGAGCATTCTGAACCCCACCAATGATGGAATTGAACCAAACTTGGCACACACTGGTGGAGTTTGGGGAAAATAGACCTTGGCATTTGGGAGTTGAAGTTGCTGGGATTTATAGTTCACCTACAATCAAAGAGCATTCTGAACACCACCAATGATAGAATTGAACCAAACTTGGCACACAGAACTCCCATGACCAACAGAAAATACTGGAAGGGATTGGTGGGCAGTGTCCTTTGGTTTTGGAGTTGTAGTTCACCTACATCCAGAGATCACTGTGGACTCAAACAATGATGGATCTGGACCAAACTCTACACAAATACTCAATATGCCCAAATGTGAACACTGGTGGAGTTTGGGGAAAAATAGAATCTTGACATTTGGGAGTTGTAGTTGCTGGGATTTATAGTTCACCTACAATCACAGAGCATTCTGAACACCACCAATGATAGAATTGGGTCGAACTTCCCACACAGAACTCCCATGACCAACAGAAAATACTGGAAGGGTTTGGTGGACAGTGTCCTTTGGTTTTGGAGTTGTAGTTCACCTACATCCAGAGATCACTGTGGACTCAAACAATGATGGATCTGGACCAAACTCTACAAAAATACTCAATATGCCCAAATGTGAACACTGGTGGAGTTTGGGGAAAATAGATATTGACATTTGGGAGTTGTAGTTGCTGGGATTTATAGTTCACCTACAATCAAAGAGCATTCTGAACCCCACCAACGAAAGAATTGGGCCGAACTTCCCACACAGAACTCCCATGAGCAACAGAAAATACTGGAAGGGTTTGGTGGGCAGTGTCCTTTGGTTTTGGAGTTGTAGTTCACCTACATCCAAAGATCACTGTGGACTCAAACAATCTGGACCAAATTCTACAAGAATACTCAATATGCCCAAATGTGAGCACTGGTGGAGTTTGGGGAAAATAGAATATTGACATTTGAGAGTTGTAGTTGCTGGGATTTATAGTTCACCTACAATCATAGCATTCTGAACCCCACCAAGATAGAATTGGGCCGAACTTCCCACACAGAACTCCCATGAGCAACAGAAAATACTGGAAGGGTTTGGTGGGCAGTGTCCTTTGGTTTTGGAGTTGTAGTTCACCTACATCCAAAGATCACTGTGGACTCAAACAATCTGGACCAAATTCTACAAGAATACTCAATATGCCCAAATGTGAGCACTGGTGGAGTTCGGGGAAAATAGAATCTTGACATTCGGGAGTTGTACTTGCTGGGATTTATAGTTCACCTACAATCACAGAGCATGCTGGATCCCACCAATGATAGAATTGGGCCAAACCTCCCACACAGAACCCCCATGTGGGCCACAGCAACACGTGGCAGGGGATGGCT